CCATCCTGGTCTATGCCACTAATATTTCTCAACTGGACCATTGCAGTATACTCCAAACTGGTCTCCTTGACTTTATTCCTGTCAATCAAACACAACAGGCAGAGACTTTAAAAAGACAACTCAGTCCCTCCCCTGCCCCCTAAACCCTAATTTCTCCCCATTTCAATTCAAAGTAAAAGCCAAAGTCCTTATAATGGCCAACAGGCCATTGTTTTCCTTGTTTCCACCACTCTGGTCACATTGGCTTGTATTCCTTCAACACACTGGGCACACTCCCCCTCAAGAACCTTTGCGCTTGCTGTCCCCCCCCTGCCTAGAATATTCTCCCCCCAGATAATTGCATGGCTCATATCCTCATCTCCTTCAAGTCTTTGCTGAATGCCACCTTCTCAAATGAGGCCTTCCTGTTCCCCTCTCACAAACATTTCCTATCCCCCTTTATTTCTCTCCATAATACATATCACCTTCTTCTATACTGTAATATTTATTGTTTGTATTCTTCAAATAGAAGGGGAATTCCAAGAAGGCAAGATTTTTTGTTATATTCCCAATGATTGGAGCGGTGCCAGGCACATATTAAACATGTAGCTGAAAAAACACAGCTTTTGTTGTATCAAGCTATCAAATGCTTTCAATATTTAATTCTAAATATTTTGTATTTCCAATATGATTTATTTTCACAAATTCTAAAATCAAATTTGCATAGATAAAAAAGAAGTTACAAAATTTGTAAAGTGTAAATAACACAGCAAACACCAGTGTTCTCAGTACCCAGTTTAAGAAAATTACTGTTATCTCTGAAGCCCTGTGTGCCCCTCCCCTCAGAGTAACTACTGTCCTGATTATTAAATTTATCTTTCCTTTGAAGTTTATGCCCTTAAACAATATACTGCTTGTCCATTTTTTTGATTCTGTGTTGTATATATCTGCAGCTGAATCATTTTCACTGTATAGTATTCCATCATATATATAAGTTATTCATCCAGTCTGCTACTGATGAACACTGTCATTTCCTTTATTTCTGCTATTACCAACAGTGCGATGAACATTTTTGTAAATTACCTCTAGGAAAAGAATTGCTGTGTCTTGAGGCATGTCTATTTTTCCATTTTAATCTTTAAAAGATCCTATCAAATTGTTTTCCAAAGTAGTTAATTCGCATTCCTACCAACTGTGGATATGAGTCCCTGTTGCCCCAAAGGCAATATGGAGGTGTGAAATGGTATGTCATTGTTTCAATTTGCCTTTCACTGAATACTCGAGGTGCAGTCATCTCAAGCATCTTCCAGTCTGTTAACCGTTTTTCTGTTGGGCTATTGGAGTTCTTTATACATTCTGTTTATTAACCTTTTAACCATTATATGTATATATTGCAAACATCTCTTTTTAATTTCACTTTCTTTAAGGAGTCTTTTGTCTTTTTAAAGAATTTATTCTCTACTCCAAAGTCAACAATTATCTCCTATATGTCTTCCAAATGGTTTTAGTTTTACCTTTAACGCGAATTCACCTGGAACTTTGTGAGGTAATGAAAAGATCTCATTTCAATATTTTCATACATATAACAATTATACCTATGTAATTTATTGAAAAGTCCTCTCTACACACACTGATTCTTTTTAAAAAAATTTAAATTCTTTATTGTTTGAAGTATTACATTTGTCTCCTTTTTCCCCCATTTGACCTCTCCCCAGCTACTCCCACCCCCCAGCACTTGCCCTCACCCCCGCTACTGTGTCCATTGGTTATGCTTATATGCATGCATACAAGACATTGGTTGATCTCTTACCCCTCTCCCCTACTCTCCCTTGCCTTCCCTCTGAAGTTTGACGGTCTGTTTGATGTTTCTATATCTCTGGATCTATTTTTGTTCATCAGTTTATGTTGCTCATTATATTCCACAAGTGAGTGAGATCATATGATGTTTATCTTTCTCCGACTGGCTTATTTCGCTTAGCATAATGCTCTCCAGGTTTATCTGTGCTGTTGCAAATGGTAAGAGTTGTTTCTTTTTTACAGCAGCATAGTATTCCATTGTACACACACTGATTCTTGATGCCAGCATTGCCATGTATCAAAATTCTATAAATATGTGGGTCGTTTTGGTGGACCCTCTGATTTTACTGGTCTATTTCTGTGCTAATATAATGCCTTCTTAATTCAAATTTCCTACTTTTCATCTTCAGGAGTGTTTTTGCTATTCTTGGCCCTTTGCTCTTGCACATAAAATTTAAGAGTAATTTCTCAAATTAGAGAAAAAATTAAGATTTTTTATTGCCATTGTGCTGAATCTATACACATAAGTTGGGGAAAATGCACTATTGAATTTTTCTTTTCATGAACATTGTCATCTGTCAGTTTAGTTCTTTTTAAAAGTCTAATAAAGTTTTATGACGGTCTTGCACAGATTTTATTAGATTAATATCTAGGCAATTTATACTTTCAATGCTATTAATTATACCTTTTTTAACATTACATTTTATTGGATTGTTTGTTGGTTTTTCCATACTGAACTTTGATAAACTCTCTATTATCTGTAGATTATTATTGGCTTTTTAAATCCATGAATCAATTAGTTTCTAAACATGTATTTGATAGCTGTCTTTCTTCAGTTGATTTATAAACTTTTGGTATTTATATTCTGAATTTTTTTTTAAGATTGACACTTCAGAATTTTTGAAACTTTCTTTGTAGCCCAACATGTCTTCAATTTTCATAAACTTTTTCATGTGTTCTGGAAGGAAATATGTATTTTCTGTGGGATAGTTCTATCCATATACAGTGGGGCCTTGACTTACGAGTGTCTCGACTAATGAGTTTTTCGAGATACGAGCTGTCTCTCGGCCGATTTTTTGCTTTGAGTTGCGAGCTAAAATTCGGGTTACGAGCCAGCTTCAGATACCCCACCGCTAGTTGGCGCAGCAGACGTCACAGTGAACGCCACAACATCAGCCCAGCATCATGTGTCTCACTCATTCACTTTAAGATTTGTCATACGAGTAATTTGAGTTACGAGCTCCGTCACGGAACGAATTAAACTCGTAAGTCAAGGCCCCACTGTACTATGTAGGCATACCTCAGAGATATTGCAGATTTGGTTCCAGACCACTGCAATAAAAGTGAGTTTTAATCTTTTTGCTGGTGGAAGGTTTTTGCCTTCAATTTGTAAAAAACACAACATCTGTGAAGTGAAATAATGCTAAGTGCAATAGAACGAGGTATGCCTGTACTATTTACACCACAACTGATTTCATTTAACAAGCACAATCCTGGTTATTTTAACATCCAACCTAATTCAGAATTAGGTATTTTTCAATTAGATAATTCTCCAACAATTCTAGGAGATACATATTACTGTCTCCATTTTGCCAAAGAAGGACTCAATGCTCAAAAGGGTTAAATCACCATCCAGATTTTCACAGCAAGTGGCCTCGTTGAAATTTGAACTTTGATTTGTTTTAGTTTGTTACAACACAAAACGTCTAGGCTAGAAACCTCAGCTGTTTTTTTATTCCACCTTCTCCTTCATCCTCCATTGTCTATTGGGACTAGGTGCCTTATACCTGAATTATACCTCAAAACTCTCTTTTATCCAGGTCCTTTGCCACTGTTTTTTTTTTTTACTCTAATCAGGAATAAAGATGGTAGTGATAAATGCCACTGGTATATAGTTCTGTTGCCATGTTTAAGTCCTTTCACCTATTGTACTTCATTTAATTACCAGGATTACTCAGAACAGTCGGGTATTTGTTACAGATTAGGAAACTAGCTCTCAGAGAGTTTATGTAACACTAGAGGCCCTGCAGGGCTCCCCTCCAGCACCCAGAACTAAAGCCCAAAGTGGCGGTGTGGTTTGCCAAGTGGAAGATCTACCATTAGAATTCGAATCCCCCAGCTGGGGCCATTAGGCCAGCCTCCGAGAATATGGCCAATTATAAAGGAGTAACACTTGTTTCTCAGGGGGGAAAAAGTTAATGCTTAAAGAACAAAAGTTGAGCGAAGGCCTCTGTATACCCCACAGAGCTTCCAAACCTCAGTGAATCCCCGAGGTGCATAATTGCATCCCTGAACGGAGATTCCTTCTCATAGTTGGAATCGTGACTAGGGTTTCTTCCATAATTGCCCACGAACTGGAAATTCCCCGAATGCCATGCCAGCTCCCGCCTGCAGAGTGTGTCATTGCAGGAGAAGAAACTGGGGCGGCGGGGCATCGGGAACCCACCCAGGGCCAAAGAGAGAAAAGCACGACGCACAGATTCGTTTCGACTGGAGGAGGAGGCTAGTGGCGATACCTGTACTGGGCAATGGTCAGCTTGGCCTCGGGCTCGGCCCGGAAGCCGGGCAAGTGCTGGCTGAGGTAGGCCTCCAAGGGCCTGCAGTCGAACTTGTGCTGCGGCAGCACTTCGCCGGCTTCTGGCTCGCGGGAGACTCGGTTCTCCATGACGGCCGCCGCGGAACCCACAGATACTCTCGGTGCCGCCGGGAGGGGTCATTTTATACCCAAGTGGGCGTGGCCTGGGACGAGGCCCGCCCGCGCCCGGTCCTGCTCCAGCCAATCACACACGAGTTCGGCACAGCTGCTGAGCAGCACAGGCCCGCTGAATCCCGGTGATTCCGGCTCCGCTTGGGAAATGTCCGGAGAACCGCTCTCGTGTTTGGATTTTAAACAAGCAGTCAGCCTCAGAATCGGAAACCTCAGTTTTAAAGACAGCAAAGCCGCGTCCGTCGCGACCGGCAAATAAGAAGGCAGAGGCCTCTGCCAGCTCTACACCTGTTGCGGAAGATCTATAGCGTCCGCTTCTGAAAAGGGTCCGTTTGGACCTGGCGCCCAGGAATAAAAGTTCCTGGTGTTTCTCTGAGCCGCCCACTCGACATGGCAATAGTGCCGGCCGCCCGCTCTGGACGCTTAGGACCTCGGCCCTGCTGCGGCCTGGTCTCTTAGGACCCGGCAAAGGAGACAAGTTAGAAGGGGTGGGTGTGTTGTGTGTGTTTGTTTCTGAGGGAGTGATGACTGCAACCGGAAGTGGTACCGCGGGACGCCGGCGGGAGTGGCGGAGACGTGTCTTTCTGTGAGGCGCTGGGAGCAGGTCCTGGGCTAGGGGGGCCGGGCCGCTCGGTGCCGCCTTAGATACTCCTTACGGGCCAGCAACCCAGTCAGTGTGGGGCGGCGGCGGCGGCGGCAACGGCCGGGGCAGGGAGCGCTGGCGGCCGGAGCCCCAGCCATGGCCGAGTCTGTGGAGCGGCTGCAGCGGCGGGTTGAGGAGCTGGAGCGGGAACTGGCCCGAGAAAGAAGTCGGCGGGCCCTGGGGGGCGGCGACGGAGGCGGCGGCCGGGCCCGCATCGAGAAGATGAGCCCGGAGGTGGTGGACTCCAACCCCTACAGGTGAGCGCGGGGCGGAGGCGGGCGTGAGGGGCGAGGCCGCCTTCTCCGAGGGGCCGCGAGTGGGGCGCTCCCCCCACCCCGGTCCAGCCACGCGGCCTCCCACCTCCCTTTCCTTGTTCTGGGGTCCTGTTTCCAACAGACAAGGCAAGACCTTAGTACATACAGGTCCAAGATGTGATTTCAAACAAACTAACAAACCAAAACCACAAGTGGCTCAGCCATATGGTCGCTCCCGTGCCTGCCCAGGACGCGCGTCCAGTGTCCGGCCGCCCTGGCTCTGAGTGGGTCCCACACAGCCCACGGGAAGGACTTGCAGAAGGTGACACCACCTTTAAAAGCCGCTAAACGTACACTTCGAGCCTCACACAAGCTCCTCCATCGGGGGCGTGGTGGGCCGAGCTCGGTTAGCTCCAGAGCCATTGGGTTTGACCAGCTCTGCTCGGCGCCCCCCCCCCACCCCCCATTCCTGTCTCGCTTCCGAAGAAGGTGTGCACATAGCGCGGTGGGGAAGCGGGGAGGGCTGCAGAGTCCGCCTCACTGGCTTCCCATCCGGATATTCGGGTGAGGGGAGAATAGTGTGGGTACTGGGAACTTCAGCGTATGTGCAATTCTTAGACTGGCTTGTACATGCGAAGCTTCGGTACAAGATTGTTCAGGACCCACGCTGACATTGCCTGCGCTTTCACCACCTGCTAAGCTAAGCGCTTTGCATGCGTTGTCACGCATGCATTGCCCTCCTCCCCACCACCCTAGGGGATGGCTGCTGTGATTTTACCTCCTTTTTTTTTTTTAAGGAGGAGGGAGAGAGAGAGAGAAACATCCATGATGAGAGAGAGTCATGGATCGGCTGCTTTCTGCTCGCCCCCTACTCGGATCGAGCCGCTACCCGGGCATGCGCCCCGACCGGGACTCGAACCCGAGACCCTTCGGTCCGCAGGCCGACGCTCTACCCGCTGAGCCACACCGGCGGGGGCTTACCTCCTTTTTATAGGTGAGAGCAGGGGCTTACTCCTTTTATAGGTGAGAACATCGAGGCTTGGAGAGCTGCTGGGACTTGCCTCGGGTCATGGGACTAGGGGTGCATAGAAAGGCCTGGCCTGCTCCAAGTTCCCATGGAACTGTCCCCCCATTAAAAAGAAATAAGCCACTAAGTAGTGTGGCTAAAAAAAAAAAAAAGGATAGTTTTTAAAGTAGGTGAAAGTTTTAAAGTGGGTGAAACAGGAAAGGTGGTGGTGTTGCTCTTTTTTCTTTAAGTAGGGTGCGTATATTTTCACTGTGTTGCCAAACAGGAGGAGTTTATGATCCAACATTTTTAAGAGTTTGAGTTAGCATGAACTGACATCTCTAACCAGAACGAGTGGAAACTATTCCCTTCGGCATCCTTCAACATTTTCTAATTTTACAAATGAAGGTTTTGAAATATTCCGTCCAAGAATGAAAAGCAAAGAGATGTAGATGATATATTTAGATTCATCTTTCAGACATTGTTTTAACATGAGACCACCCGTTGACATTGTAATAATCACAGACTTTCAGAACTCCAACCTAAACGTTTAGTATTTTCTTATTTGCACCTTTTGTCTTTATTAAAACGGCTGCGTAAGAAATGGCAGTTGTCACCCAAAGCTCTTTACTAGTACGTGGGTGTTTGATAAACGTCAGCCTTAATTTTTTGAATTGTTTGTTTAGCAAATACTGTATTTAGTGAACACCTTTTCATCTCCAGCCTCCTGGATGATATTATCTACCACTTATTGAATATCTCTTACGCATAGACACTGGGGATACAAAGTAGACATGGTCATTTCCCTCCAGGGATTTACCAGGTGACAACATCACCTTTAAAAGCCGTTTATGCGAAAGCGCATGCTTTATCAAAATGACAAATTAAAGGGTATACATTTGTGGAAAGCTTATGTATTCAACCACTATATATTTAACATCATGGACTCAGGCTTTATAAGCCTAAGATTGGTAGACTGATACCTAATATAAGGTCACTTCTCCTTCTTATCCACAATCTAAACCAATTTTAGAAAAAAATAAACATATATATATATATATATATATATATATATATATATACACACATATGTGTGTGTATGTGTGTGTTTAGCAAATACTGTATTTAGTGAACAGTTATAGAAAGGTTAACATAGGATTGCAATATGAGTAGTAGGAATTATAAAGTACAGGGTTATCAAAAAATATAGGAGAGGGGTTTGTAAGTGCTTAGCTTCATTTTAATTGCATGAAGTGACACAAAAGAAATATAATAGAAAGCCTCTGACCCTCGAAGAACTTTTACTTTAATTTGAGAAACTCAGTGGTTGTGAAATGATCAAATAACTAAAATTATCTGTTATAGAATATAATTATAGGCATATGGAGAAAATTGAAAGGGGAGCAGAGGCTTTAAAGTTAGAAAACCTGGTTTCAAACGCTAGTTTAAAAACTCAGCTCTGAATACTTGTTTGCCATTTAGCTAATCGTGGCCAAGTTAACCTGAATCTTTTTTCTCATTTGTAAAAGGGGATTGCAATACATTTTTCTAGGGTTATTTATGAAGATTAAAGACAGCATCAAGGTAAAGCTGGCAGATTGATCACAGGCATTGATTATCCTTGTCTACCTAATCCCACCAAGATGACAGTAAAGGAATTTTATAAAAGAGTAATCCCCATTGAAAAAACAGAGGGTTCCTATTAATAATGAGGATGATTAGGTTCCTGTACTTGAAGATTATAGTAACAAAGTCTTAGAAATAGAAAAGTGATGGATGACTGATAATTGATTTAATGGATCTAAAGAAGTTGATTCTCAAGCCTGCAATCCAGTTTACACCACAGAATTCCTCAAAGGCTCAGGATTGGACACAGGTACTTCTAGAAGGGTTTAAGGTAGGGCTAGAAAAAAAGATATGATTGAAAATCTGTTGAAGAAACAGAGCCCAGGTTTCCTACTTCACTTTTTGTAGCTGAGCTAATGCTAATGCCTCTTCCCTATCAAAAGAGAAGACAAGAGATTTACTCATTGGAGGGAATAAAACGGAGGATTTCTATTAATTGAAGCAGGTCCTTGTTTACATACTGAGTGCAATGACTCCCAGCCTTGCTCTTCCACTTAACACCTCCAAACGGACAGCCATAAACACCTTTCAGGTTGGAAATTGAAAGATTTTTCTCCAGAGAAGCTGATAGAACCAAGAAGAAAGACTGAAAGGCAGTAATATTGTGGGTTTCTGCTAAATAGCTCAGCCAGATCACCTTATGGTAAAGCCCAAAGTCAAACAAGCATTGCCCACACCTTTGCTTTATTAATGTCTGATTCTTAAATATGAACAGAACAAAGGATGAGAGAAGCTCCTAACAAAACAAACAAAACACAACAGAACAAAATAACACATCCCCAACATTATCATTATCCCTAGATGAGGGATGGTGTGTTGTAAATGAATTGGAACAAGGTGCTAACAAACAAAAAAACCTCATTCAGATGGTTAAAAAGAATTCTTGAAAATGGAGAATAGTAAAAATGAAAATTTCAATAGAAAGATTGGAAAATAAAGTTGAAAAAAAATCCAGATAATAGAGTAGGAAACTAAAATGATGGAAAATAGAAGAAAGGAAATAAGAATAGAGGATCAGTCCAAGTGTCCAACTTCCAAATAATAGGAGTTCCAGAAAGATAATCCAGGAAAAACAAACCAAACAAACAAGGAAATCATCAAATTCAAGGAAATTTCCCAGAACTGAAAAACAATTTGATAGTGTCCACTAAGTACTCAGACAATGGATGAAAATAGATGAACACTAGGGCACATCATAAAATTCCAGAAGCTAGAAGACACTGAAGTCATATCTTAGAAACGTTGAGGGAAAATTATTTCCAATTAAAAAAATCTGGTTGCATGGGCTGGAAGTGTATTCAGGCATTAGTGTTCTTAAAGCTGCCCCATTGATTTAGTTTCATCTGGTAAAACTGAACTGATGGAAAGATTTCTCCTCTTTTATAAGATTAGCAATGATTGACTTTTGGAGTCTATTTTCTGTGATGTATGTTTACCTATGTCACTAAGATTGTGTAACCTTTAAAACATTTTTTTGTTTCTTTGTTTTAAGCCGCCTGATGGCATTGAAACGAATGGGAATTGTAAGCGACTATGAGGTATGATAAACCTTTCCAAGTTTTTGAAGATGATTTCAATAAATTAAAATAATTTTTGAGGAAGACTTATTAACCAAGACATATATAATTTTGCATTTTACAGAAAATCCGTACCTTTGCTGTAGCAATAGTAGGTGTTGGTGGAGTTGGTAGTGTGACTGCTGAAATGCTGACAAGATGTGGCATTGGTAAGGTAAAAACATTTCTCTTTACCTATCATGTAGAGAACTACTGACTTCTGGAGTAAATCAGGTACAAATTATAATCTCCCTTCCTCCCCCATTATGATGGTTTATTGATTTATGGTGTATTTATTCAGATTTTTCTTTCTACCCGAGGGGGTTAAGACATAACCCTACCAAATTGGAAGCTGATATTATTGCTGATTAAAAACAAGGACTACCTAATTGTGTTTAGGAACATTTTTGTTTGGGGTAATATATAAACAATTTGGACTTAAGTGTTTGAAATTGAACTGGAGAATGCTCCAGATGTTTTTTAATTCATATATATATATATATATATATATATATATATATATATGTTTATTTTTTTCTAAAATTGGTTTAGATTGTGGATAAGAAGGAGAAGTGACCTTATATTAGGTATCAGTCTACCAATCTTAGGCTTATAAAGCCTGAGTCCATGATGTTAAATATATAGTGGTTGAATACATAAGCTTTCCACAAATGTATACCCTTTAATTTGTCATTTTGATAAAGCATGCACTTTCCCATAAAGTTTATCAATATTTTTAAATATGTTGGTTTACTCCATGCACCAAATTTTTAAAGGGAAGTGGTTTCAAAGTTGGCACTCATTTATCAATATAGAAAAGACAACATCAAAATACTAAAAATGTTTATTAACATTTCAAAGTCTGTAAAGAGGCTTACAAAAGCCAGCCAACAGTTGCTTATAGCTGACTGATCAATGATAGTACAGATCATGGAAATCCATGGTTTTCAGGTTTGAGTGTGCATCAGGAGCCCTTGGAAGGCTTACTAAACCACAGATTGCCAGACCCTACCTACCTCAGTGGTTTTGATCCTGTAGGTTTCAGGTGGATCTAAGAATTTTAATTTTTAACAAGTTCCCAGGTGATTCTGATGTTATTCCAGGAATGGCACTTTAAGAATCTCTGCATCTTTGCTACTCAAAGTCAGGTCCCTGAAGTAGAAGCATCAACATCATCTGGGAGTTTGTTAGAAATGAAGACTCCCAGGCCCACCCCAGACATGCTGAATCAGAATCTGTATTTTAACAAGATTGCCAGATGATTCATATGCATAGTAAAATTGGGGAAGTGCTTCTGTATTTCTAACTAGCTTTAGGTAATGCTTGCCCAGGCCACATTATGAGTAGCAAGGATCTGAACAGTGATTATCAGACACTGCTGTAATTAGAATTACCTGAGAAGTTTTAATAAATTCTGATGTCCACACTGCACCCCATAAAAAGTTAATCAGAATCTCTGGGAATGGGACCCAGACATCTGTATTTTTTTTAAAAACTTATAAATCAGTGGTTCTCAACCTTCCTAATGCCGCGACCCTTTAATACAGTTCCTCATGTTGTGGTGACCCCCAACCATAAAATTATTTTCGTTGCTACTTCATAACTGTAATTTTGCTACTGTTATGAATCGTAATGTAAATATCTGCTATGCAGGATGTATTTTCATTGTTACAAATTGAACATAATTAAAGCATAGTGATTAATCACAAAAACAATATGTAATTATATATGTGTTTTTGGATGGTCTTAGGCGACCCCTGTGAAAGGGACGTTCGACCCCCAAAGGGGTCGCGACCCACAGGTTGGCGACCCACAGGTTGAGAATCGCTGTCCTAAATGATTCCAGTGTGCACTCAAGGTTGTATGCTAAGGATCTACACATAGGCATATTTCAGAACTCTTTCTCCAATGTGTAAAACAGATAAAAAAGAAGGTAATTCATGAAGTTAAGTAGGGAAGTGGAAGATTAGAGACCCAGAGACCACGTCTTATTCCTGAAAGTTTCCAGAATCCCCAGCACACCCTGGATTACCAGATCCATATCAGCTGCTTTATTTTATAGATGAGGATACAGCCCTAAAAAGTGAAAGTGACTTATTATTCATGACTGGAGCTAATTAGTGGCAGAGTCACACTTCTTGTCCCCAAATTTAGGATTTCCCGCAACTTATTCATAAACCAGCTATGAGGATGAAACTCAGATTTAATGCTTGTCCTGATCTAGTAAATATTGTTGAATGAGCTTAAATCATATTTTGGAGACTCTAGGGTTAGAAAATTATCATAGGGGTCATAAGTGATATCTTTTCTACCAAGATTTTAAGGGTTACTTACATGCTGTTTTTATGGGTCAGGTTAGTGTTTCTGTATTGAGAAGAAGAAAATACCATTTTTGTTTTTACTGTTAAATTTAGGATGCTGAGAATTATATTACAAAGTCACAGAATTTTAGACCAAGGAAGGGAACTTGGAAATCCTTGGGTCCAACCTGTTCTTACTGATAAGAAATGGGATCTTTTGGCCATTTTAAAGTGTGTGTGTGTGTGTGTGTGTGTGTGTGTAACACTGTCATTTCAAAATATATAGCAGGAAACAATAATTAAGTGGTTGGTTAGTAATTCTGTTTGGAATAATGCTTTAGCCATGGCATGGTTGTATATGTAGTGTCATATTCACAAAAGGAGTCATGCTTTACTATAGTTTTAAGTTATGGCATTTGTATTTATCTTATTGAAAAAATTTATTTATCTAATGGGTTCTTGGCTTTTAGCAAAAATAGGAACGAAATGAAATGAACATTAATTTCTTAGCAAATATTTAGAGAGTCAGTACAGCATTGTGGTTAGGGTACAGATGCTACATTGAGAATGTTTGAATTCAAATCCCTTTTCTACTACAAATTAGCTGAGTGGCTTTTGAGCAAATGTCCTAGTACTTTCTAAAATGAGGATAATAGTATCTACATACTTATCTCATATGGTCATTAAATGAGTTAACACTTGGAGTGCGGGTGAATTTCCCGCCAAAATATAAGATGGCTCTGTCTTTTGGTTTTGTTCCATCCACCAAAAGGGTGGATTACAAACAAATATTTGGTAATACGCAGTTACAATCGGCCCGAGTTTACACGTTTCCCGCACTCCACCGCAAATCTATATGAACCGAGTTAAAGACGGCTCCCGCGGAGTACGCGTAATTCACGCGAGCCGACTTAACTCGTTTCCCGCACTCCAAGTGTATTAATATATGGCATCTAGAATTTCAGAGTTTATTATTACTGCCAAACTGTTAAACCCATCAAATGTACAACTCACTAGTTCATTCTTTCTTATGTTTTTCATCAGAATATCACTATTTTCATTTTAGTTACTACTCTTTGACTATGACAAGGTGGAACTGGCCAATATGAATAGACTTTTCTTCCAACCTCATCAAGCAGGATTAAGTAAAGTTCAAGCAGCAGAACATACTTTGAGGTAAGAGGAATAGCAATTAAAGACTCTATTTAGTGAAATCTTTGTGTATTTGGTATGAGTTAATCTAATGCATAAATGGACCTGAATTTTTCTCTATAGGAATGCAGGTTTCACTTCTGCAAAGAATTGTCTTACCTCTTGGATCTGGTTTGGCAACCTTTTCCTTTATAGGACTAGATAGTAAATACTTTAGCTTTGAGGACTGTATGGTCTCTGTCAAAACTGCTCAGCTATGCACTTATAGTGTAATAGCATCTGTAGGCACTATAAAAACGAATGAGCATGGCTCTGCTCCAATAAAACCTTATTTATGGGCTCTGAAATTAAAATTTTATATATTTTTTACATGTCATGAAATGATTGTTGTTCTTTTGACTTTCTTTTCTGCACCCATTTAAAAATGTAAAAGCCATTATTAGCTTGCAGACCTTACAAAAATAGGTGGCAGGTCAATTTTGATGGAAAGGCCATAAGTGGCCGACCCTTGCTCTAGGAATTTTCTTTGTGAGCCCAAAGAAAATTGAATGCACTGAATTGAATAAGGAACAAAGGAGCTCTTTTGTCAGGCTGAAATGTAGCTAACAGAGGGGATAAGACTTAATTTTCAGTACACAGGCTGTGGGAACATTTTTGTAAGCCTTCTGATAATCTACACATTATAAACCTAGTCCTTGAACTTAGTCCTTGATGTAGGACAAAAGAGGTAGAAGAGGACTTAGGATTTTCTTTGAATAGCTTAAATTCCATTTCTCTGATCTCTGTTAAATGATCTTTAGTACTTTTTCCTGCTTTCTCTTACTATTCCTCCTTTAATCATTCCTTTTTCCCCTCTTAGGAACATTAATCCTGATGTTCTTTTTGAAGTACACAACTATAACATAACCACAGTAGAAAACTTTCAACATTTCATGGATAGAATAAGGTAAAATTTTACTTATGAATATTTTGCACATGTCCAGCTCAGTTAAACAAGTATTATAGAAAATGTGCTGATGATTAATTTAATGCATTGGTAGAATGAAATATAGTTGTGTTTTTTTTTAGGATAGTTAATTTTTGTGTAATTTTTATATACTGGGAGCTCAGTAAAAAGTATATATTGTCCAAAATACAATGGTAACAACAAAAGAAAAACTAACCCAAAACCCCTATTATTATAATAGTATAACAAGGAACCCTCAATTATACATTTTGTGTTCTAGAATATATTTCTGTCTGAAAGTGGTTTTCTGCAGAGACTCTTGTGATACCACTAAAATAATGAATTGTATTCAATTAACTTATTACATTTAAATAAAAGTCTGAAAGCTAATAGGTAAATGGTAACTTTTGTAAACAGACTTTATACTTGCATCCTTGTAGGTCTTGTGTAAAAAGTACTATAATATCATTGATGTTATATTCATAATAGTTACTCAATACTCTATATATACTGGATCTTTAATATTAAATACTTAGTATATTATAATTATACTTAAACATTTACTGAAATAGCAAATGTGTGACTGAATAAATAAAGTCTAATTATAGTGTATTTTGTGTCCTGATTTTTTTCAAATAACATTTATTTTCTTTGCCTAGTAATGGTGGATTAGAAGATGGAAAACCTGTTGACCTAGTTCTTAGCTGTGTGGATAATTTTGAAGCTCGAATGGCAATAAATACAGTGAGTATTCCTACTGTGTAAAATGTTACACTCATGGATTTATCTATTCTGTATCTTCTATCAGTATATATTTCCCATCCTAAAAATAGTTCTGCATCTAAACCCTTTTATAATGTGTTTTACTTATTTTTAATGTTCCCTTAGCCTACTTTTGAAATGTTTCCTAATGGCTGTGGGACCTGCTTAGCCTTGCTATTGTGGCATAGGTTTCAATATCCTACTCTCTGATGCCAATAGAGGAAACTATAAAATAGCAGATAGTTGTGATATACAATTTTTAAAATAAATGAATATCTTATAATACTCTTGGTCAGCTTTGGTTTTAACTTTTACTACTTTATTTTTCAGTAAAGATATAAATATATATAAATTGCCTTTAAACATGGTTTCTGAAAAATAAAACTGAATTCTTTTTTTTAAATTATTGTGTTTTCAGCTTTTCAAATGAAGTTTTGCATTTTTGTTGCTGAAATAATTTTAGAAAAATGAAGTTTTACATTAATGTAATAAGAAACCCAATAGACTTAATTTAATTAGATATTTATTGACTGCTTACCTGTCAGTTTATTTTATTTATTATTTTTAAAATTTAAATTCTTTATTGTTGAAAGCATTACATATGTTTCCTTTTTCCCCCATTGACCTCTCCCCTAAACAGAGAGTAACAATTGCCAAGGAATTCCATTATTTACAACTTTAACTTTTTATTCTGAAAATTAATTTTAAAAAATTCATGGGAATCCACTTAGTTAAATGCCACTTTTTCATGAAAAGAAATTATGGTACGTTACGTCATGCTCTTTTATGTCCTTTCTTTTATTTTTATCTACTTCTATCAAGGCTTGTAATGAACTTGGACAAACATGGATGGAGTCTGGGGTCAGTGAAAATGCAGTTTCGGGGCACATACAGCTTATAATTCCTGGAGAATCTGCTTGTTTTGCGGTATGTATAATTAATTTTGGGTTATTTTTCACTAAATACAAGAGTTCCTAGGGGCATTGAATATGTATTGCAGTTCAAAGAAAAACAGACTTTGAATATGATTAACTGCTACTTGGAACACATACTTTTCCCCTTTCTTTGAAATATATTTTCTTTTATTCTTTTTCATGTAGTGTGCCCCACCACTTGTAGTTGCTGCAAATATTGATGAAAAGACTCTGAAACGAGAGGGTGTTTGTGCAGCCAGTCTTCCTACCACTATGGGCGTGGTTGCTGGGATCTTGGTACAAAATGTGTTAAAGTGAGTGAAGGTTAATTTTTCTGAATAGTCTTGTTTTGATAAAAAAAATATATTTCATGAAATATTTTAAATATAGGAACTACCAGCAAGGTATTTAATTTAGTTTTTAAAATTTAGTTTTAAATATACATATATTTTTATTTTATATACTATGTATATCATATACTTTTTATTTGTATGTAATATACCTTACTAGACATAATTTAAATGGACAGGTATTGCATGTTTTTAAAATTCTTGCAGCCCTGGCCGGTGTGGCTCAGTTGGTTGGGTATTGTCCTGTGCACCAAGAGGTCACCGATTCCATTCCTGGTCAGGGCACATACCCGTGTTGCAGGCTTGATGGCATGCAGGAGGCAGCCAATCAATGCTTCTCTCTCATCAATGTTTTTTGGTATTTTTTTTCTCTCTCTCCCTTCCTCTTTCTCTCTAAAATCAATAAAAACGTATTTAAAAAAGATTATTACAACACACCGGTTGAAAATCATTGACCTCCTAGACTATAACTAAAAAGGACAAAGGTTTCTTTACAGCTAAAATTAATGTCAAAGAGTTTTTGAATCAATTCACACTTAATTAAAAGTACAACTCCTTTAGGTGTTCCCTCTCTCAGGCCATTTTTTGTTACAACTCTAATAAGCTTAGTTATGTTTCCTAAACCTCCAATATAAGAACAAACTGCAACATGCTATAGGGAGGCACTCTGATATCAGAAGTGTCCACTACCAGCAAAGATATTGTAAAAAGCATACATAAGAACTCTTAAGGCAACTGTCTAGAGCTTGTGCAAACTAAACAAAACATTTCATAGAATGATATGAAAAGGGGGAAATCATGGCTATAAATTACTCTCTTACGTGTCATATTTATAGTATAGCCCTCTATTGATAGACATTTAGGCTGCTTACTGATTACTGATTTTAAATTATTTTTTTTAAAATATATTTTATTGATTTCTTACAGAAAGGAAGGGAGAGAGAGATAGAGAGTTAGAAACATCGATGAGAGAGAAACATCGACCAGCTGCCTCCTGCACATCCCCCACTGGGGATGCGCCCGCAACACAGGTACATGCCCTTGACCGGAATCGAACCTGGGACCCTTCAGTCCGCAGGCCGACGCTCTATCCATTGAGCCAAACCGGTTTCGGCAGATTTTAAATTATTAATAATGCTGCAAACAGTAGCTTTTCACATATCTTTGTATACTAGATTTTTGTACAGTTTTAATTTTTAGGAGTGGAGTTTCTGGGCTTATGCAAATTTTTTTTGACATATTACTAAATTTTTCTTTCAAAGGGATTGTACATTTCCATCACAGTGTAGGAGTACCTAGTCCACCCACACGTTTGATATAATTTGATATTGTAAAACTCTTTAATCTTGGTGAATCTAATAGGTGAAGAATGGGTATCTCTTTCCATTTTGTTATTTGTGATAACTTGAGCAACTTGTACTTTTATGTGAATTATATGCTCATATTCTCTGCTCAAATTTTTTTTGTTTTTCCTTGATGTATATTAAGAACATCCATTTACACCCTAGCTGAGTTGGTTATTGTGACATCCTGATACACAAAGGTTGCAGGTTCGAGCCCCTGTCAGGGCACATATAAGAAACAACCAGTGAATTCATAAATATGTGGAACAACAAATCGATGTTTCTTTTTCTCTTCCTCCCTTCCTTTCTCTCTAAAAATCAGTCAATAAATAAAATTTAAAAAACAAGAATCAACCAATGAAACAAAGATTGATGTTTCTCTTTTTCTAAAAACAATAAAAAAGAACATAAATTTGCAAATATTTTTCCTTTTGTTGTTTATCTTATATACATGATTTTCTAAAAAGAATCAGATTTGACCAGCAGGGAGCACAGAAAGCTATGTGGCATACTGGAAACGTTCTGTATTTTGATCTGGTAGTGATTGCATGGGTGAATACATTTGTAAAATTGTATTGAACTATACATTTAAGATTGTAAACCTTATAGTAAGTTTTATATAAAATATTTTAAATTGGTTAGATTTAGTATCATGTCTCAGGAATTTTTAATACATCATTCTTCCACATTTTAATCTAAAATCAGCATGCTTTTTAAAGTTGTTGACATAACCATAGTTTAATTGGCAGCATTTTATCTTTATTAGAGTTTCAAAAAAGAGTTCTATGGCTGATGAAAGAGTTTTCTTTCCTGCTTTCATTCAACAAATATCTTTTATGAGCCAGGCCCTGAAAACAAGATAATAAATTTGTCTTTTTTGTTCCTTGTTACAGAATGGGGGGGAAAGGGAGGCATATGTGATATTTTCAACAATAAAGACTTAATTTTTTAAAAATCTGATTTTTAAAATACTTTTATCCTTTTATTTATTTGTCTACTTTGATTTGTTTTTCCAGGTTTCTGTTAAAATTTGGTACTGTTAGTTTTTACCTCGGATACAATGCAATGCAGGATTTTTTTCCTACTATGTCCATGAAGCCAAATCCTCAGTGCGATGACAGAAATTGCAGGAAACAGCAGGAAGAATATAAGGTATATGCCAGTCTATCAGAATGTGTGAGAGAACATGTTGCATAGGATAATAGCTTAAAAAAATAAAAAAAATTATTTAGATTTGGAATTTAAGATAATTGGATTCTGGGTCCTTAAACTTTTATTTACCATGCCTCCAAATGAAAATTCTGTTCAAAGTCCTTTTTTGCTTTTGGTAGGATAAAAAGCCTGCCTGAATTATTGATTAATGCTTGGGAGAACTCAGAATGAATACAAATACTTTGATACTGTTTGATTTCTACAGAAAAAGGTAGCAGCACTGCCCAAAAAGGAGGTTGTTCAAGAAGAGGAAGAGATAATACATGAAGACAATGAGTGGGGTAGGAGTCCTTTCATAAATGGAAATGGCAGCATATGACATATCTTTTATGGGAGGGAATCTCATAATTAATGTTATACAAGTTTGAGTTGTTATTGCTTAAGTTCCTCAAAAACTGTAATAAGGTCCAATTTAACTCTACAGGTATTGAGTTGGTATCTGAGGTTTCAGAAGAGGAACTGAAAAATTCTTCAGGTCCAGTTCCTGACTTACCTGAAGGAATTACAGTGGCCTATACAGTTCCCCAAAAGGTACATCTAAAATCTGATTTACCATAAGTAAATAACATGAAAAAAGTCTTTATCTTTCATCTTCATCCTTTATAATGCCAGCACAGTACTTTCTGTATTAGATATTTTACTATAGGCATTAAGATGTCTGAAAGAGATGTATTCAGTGCTAATATGGACATATGCACAGCACAATTTAACTGTTTGAAAACAAATATAAAATAGTTTTGTTCACTTATTAATGGATCAAGTCAAATAGATTTTGATTAAATGAAAATATTATATTTCTAAATTAGTAGTTTTAGCCACAATGCTACTAAAAGTACCACTTTGGTAGATATCTCAGGAATATTGAAATTACTGCCTTGTGAATCAAAAGACTGGTGTGGAAAGTAAAGGACTTTGTCTCTCCTAAAAATTAGAAGGTATATGTACTAAAGAAAGTTTACTTTGTAAACTTGTTGAACATGGTTAAAGCTTACTGATTATATATTTCTAAGCATCAAGAATTTTAGGTTATTTTTTCACTATGTTTCCCTCATTTGTTGATAGCAAGAAGATTCTGTTCCTGATGTAACAGTGGAAGATTCTGGTGAAAGCTTGGAAGATCTCATGGCCAAGATGAAGAATATGTAGATAATGGACTGGACTATATTTTATTTTCTGTGTTTAAACCTATTCCTTTGCAATTAAAAAAAGTCATTTTAAAACTGACAAAACTTAGGGCAACATCAATTGATGTGTATTCTTTGTTAAATTGTTATACTTTTTGAAAATACTGTTACTGTTACTTGTTGTTACCTCACCCTCAACTAAATCAATAACTCTCCTAAAACTCATGTTTCATTCTAGTAAGAAAATTTCAAAGGATTATTTTAGGCAGTTATAAGTTTTATTGAAAACTTAGCCATTGAAATGTTTTGGCCTTTTGTGAGGGATGGAAGAAAGGACCAATTTGAGGCTGTACACATTCCTTTTCTTTCCAGTAATCCTTTGTGGTTTGGCCATGGGCAATAAAGCAGCATGTGGTCCTGAAATACAGGGAAAAGAGCAAGAGGTTCAATCTGTTGATTTGAGCTAGCAGGCCATGTACTCATTGTTTCGGAATTGTTCTCTACAAGAAAACTGCCCACTACTACTAACTTGGCCAGCAATGAATTTAAAATAGTTAACCTGTAAAATAATAACATTCTCTGAAATGTTTCCTGATTACAAACTGAAATGTAGTCAGTGGAAAAGTTGTAAACTTGTGGATTATATATTCAAAATTAGGCAACTAAAAGTAAGTTTTTTTCATGGGTAGACAGATAAAGGTACTTTGAGGAAGTACAAATTATATTTCTGCATTGACCAAAGAAATCACTGCATCTGTGGGCATATACCTGGAATCACTGTACTTTATTGAGGAGTAATGGATAATTTAGGCTAAGATCATCTAGATTATACCCATGATATGGGTTACCTTATAAATACTTTATTTCACTTAAATGTGATTCCCCAGGTAATTAAATGTTGGAAAGGGTTTATCCTGGATAGGGCATTAAAGAGGCCTAAAGTGTCTCTGAAATGACTGATATATTTATTTACTGGAAGAGTATCATTTTTCCAGATCATGACCTCTAAATCATAAATTGATAAAACTGTTATTTCCTAGAGTTGTATGTAAATAATGAAGGCTTAGAGAGCCTTGGTTGAAATAAAATTCCAGTGGTTTGGAGACCAATATAAAAACATGCATGTGTAACCATTATTTGAGCGAGTGCCCAAATCACTCAGGTTCCCGATGTCATGAAGGAAGAAGACAGAAGCCAAGGTAAGATCTGTAGGCTATTATTGCTAATCTCCTATTCTGATTATTATTATTTTTTTGCTTTGAAGATAGGAATGTCTGAATTGTATTTGTAGGCTGACAATGTTAGTAAAAAAAAGTGCATTTCCCACTTGTAAAATAAAGTTCTAAAAACTTATTTCAGAAAGCCCCACAGATCAAAAATATGTTCAATATATTAGTTTTGTGATTTTAGGACTATATTGTGATTCTTGTGTTTAAAATAATGTCAGGAAGGCAGAGGGATAGTTTTTCTAGCCTTGAAACTTAAGTTGCCTTGCTAGGTCATTTGTTATATTTTAAAAATTTAATGTATTCCTCTATAAAATAACTAACTTTTCTAGTTACTAGAGATGTTTGAATTTCAAAAAAAAAAAAAAGTCCAGTCTTTTTAAATCCCATTCCTTTTTTAACCTCCTGGGTTTGATTCTGGTCAAGGGCACATGCCTGGGTTGTGGGCTCGATCCCCAGTATGAGGCGTGCAGGAGGGAGCCGATCAATGAATTTCTCATATCATTGATGTTTCTATCTCTCTCTCCCTCTCTCTCTGAAATTAAAAAAAAAAACAACACCAAAAAAACATATTTAAAAAAAAAAAGTTACTAGATTATTTTACCAGAAAAAAAAATCTGGTAACAGGTATCTTTTGCAACCTAGAGTGCTCTCTTGACAATCTGATTGCCATGAAAACTTGTATATGTAGGCAGCTGATTATTAATCCTTACTGAATTTCACACTACTAAATAAACCCACGGTGCTTGACAAGATTAACACTATTGTTTCTAATGTGAAAGAGAAACACACTCCCAAAACTGCCTTAGCACAAAGGCTCTAAATTCTAGTAAAACAAACCATATGTTCAACTTTAATCCCTTCCCTCATTGTTAATGAGAATTTGTGGTAGTACTCAAATGTTTTATACAGTTAAGAAAATATGTACTATGGGTTTCTTCATATAAAAATAGTCCCTGAATACCTACAAACACCCTGATCAACACAGGTAACCATTTAAGAGTATTTATTTATTTTTAATTTTATTGTTTAAAGCATTACAAATAGTAGTACATATGTCTCCCTTTTTTCCCCATTGACCTCCCCCCGGCCTCCCCTACCCCCTGGCACATGCCATCACTCCCCCCCGCCCCCCCCACCACTGTCTTGCATACCCTTAGTTATGCATATATGCATGCATACAAGTCCTTCAGTTGATCTCATTTAAGAGTATTTATTAACGAAGCTTTGACCTCTCCCAAATTGCATTTTTAAATTCCTTTCTATAAAGTATTATTAATAAAATTAATTATAACTACCATAATTTGGATCCTAGCAATTCAGTTTTATAACTATGAGTTGTTGAAAGCTACCTTTTTCATCATGAAGGTGTATATTAAAGTAAACATAATATTCCAATTTGAGAACCTCAAATACACATAAAGAAATGTCTGTCCCAGCTATTTTTTTCTTCATAAGTAGGCATTCTATATTAAAATATTTAAACTTAAACTTTTGAAATAAACCATTACCCCCCAGATATAATTAGTGAATTTTTACCATAATAACTTTACCATAACATTAACTTGAAGAATATGAAAAGTTTCCATTTTCTCTGTTTTTCAAGTCCAAATTTTGTTACTGCTACTAAATGGATATTACTCTTTTGCTAGTTTTGCATTTTTTCAAGGTTCTTCTAGTACATTGATCTCAAATTATTTTCTAAAGCAGTTTTAGCATTTAAACTTAATATATTACTTGTATTAATTTACTATTATCACCAAATAATCAAATTTTAAACTCTTAATAGCTTAATTATAAAATCAATGTTTGGTATATTTGTAAATTAAATTACTTTGTGCCTTTCATAGCTGGCAAACTCAGAAAGATGTCTTATGGTCATATTTGGTTTTTTTTCCCCCTCTTGAATGTCTCTCAAAAGGGGGGGAAGAAGGCTGTTTGCTTTGTAAGACCCTACCTAATTTCTTTTAAGTCACCACTGTAGTGCCTTAGAGTTAGACCATTGCTTTTCAAATTTATGTGCATCTGAATCATCCAAGGATATAGCTAAATTGATTCTGATTTAGTAGGTTTGGGGAGAATCTCAAGAGTGAATTTTTAGCAAGCTTCCAGATGGTGGGTTCATGGACCACCCTGTGAGTACCTAGGCCTTAAAGTCACCAAAAGCCTATACAGTCACCAAAGCTCAAGTGGAGCAAACTACTCAGCGAGTAGTGACAACATGCAGTCCTTTTGGTAATGTACTTCTTAGTTACATAACCCTCTTGTATTGAGTAGAAAAGGGGAAACTTAAAATTGCACTTTTATTTTAAAACAGTGAAGTATGGTTATTATGTCTTTTACCAAGTATTAAAATTGAAGATTTTATTATATATAAATACATAGATGGTACAAAATAATATCCAAAATGTGGCAATATTTACAAAAGCTATAAAAAATATTTAATTTTCAGTATAAAAGACAGACTAATTTGAGTTGGAGATAAATGAAGAGACAGATTTAGGCCATTTAAGAAAAAAGGAGAATGTCACGTCCAAATTTTGGGTAAGGCCAAAGAATGCCAACAAGCTTGATTTGTTGCTGCATTAATGACTTCAGATTATGCAGATATCTACTACACAGACAAATAATATACAATGTACAGAACACAGAAAGCAGAGGACTTGGCCCAATCTGCTCAAGGAAAAGTTAGAATTTGAAAAAAAAAAGTAGCAGAGATTCCTGTTACTAGTCATTTTACAGAAGACAATTCATACTTTTCATAAACATTATCCCTTTATTCCTTGAAACTTTTCTTTGAGGTAGAGAACTGGGCCAGACTACTGCTGAAAAGGAACATAAGGAATGGTGAGGTAAAGTACTTTTGAGAGATGAAAAGAATCATGCAGTTCTTGAACTCCCTGCATAACTGCTCTGCCAGCTCTTGTTGAACAGAGACCAACTTATATCTTCATGGCATCTTAGGATTCTAGCGTCTGCAGCCCTGGATCCCACACAACTGGGAAGTTAATTCTTTTAACTAAAACAGACATAATCATGACTCAAACTTCAATGTAGCCCAATACAATTTAATACAAATACCACTTAAAGCAGACAAAGTAAAAATAAAATTTCTTAAACACATTTTTAGTAAGTTTTAAATTCTAATGTTCCAAATGTTTTTAATGTTTTTTCATTATTTGCAGTGAATTGTGATTGCTCCTACTACCTTTGTCCTTGATGAAGGAAAACATTAGGAGAATGGGTTGTTTTTACACTAAATGTATCTCCACTCGATGAGTGTCGGGAGGGAGCTTTCCCACCCAAAAGTGACGTTTCTGCTTCTTTTATTTCCATCGCTCTTTTGTATAGTTCAGCAGCTTTTTCAAAATCCCCTTCTTCATAGCTTTGAAAGAAAATAAAAACCTCTTAAAATCAGAATATAACCTTCTAACAATTCTAAATGACCTTATAGGATACCCCCCTCCAAAAAAACCCACAAAAAAGTGAGTAATCACTCATTTCCCCTCCAGTGCATTTATTTACTAAAACAGACCAGAAAAAATAGAACACCCAAACTCTTTCCTTTCTGTTTGTACTGGTAAGGGACATTTCAGTACCTCATGGACACCATTAAGCCTGTGTTGTGAAGGATGCAGTGAAATTGCTAAGGGAAATTAGATATTCTCTATGTCCTGAGTTGAACACACACAGCGCAGAAGTCAACATGTACTTCATGGTAAATGAGCTCTGAGGACAGCAAATTGCTCATATTATTCCAGACCCAGCTGGTTGTACATGTAAACCATCCTTCACTATTTGCCATGATAAACTCTTCTGTAAAATACATTGTGTAGCCTTCATTTCACTTCTAGATACTACTGTATCTCTTGAAGGAAATCAACCAGAAGCAACTCACCTCCAAGAAAAAACATTCAGCAGTAAGGATCTTTTTGTTCCATGATGAGTGAAATTAAAAGATGTTCTAAAAGGTAGTTAAGATGTATGAGGAAAGTGAAAAAATTCTTACCTGAGCACAGCTAAATTTTTTAAAGTTTCTCCAACTCGAGGATGCATCTGACCCAGGCTGTCTTCGTAAATCTTTAATGCTCTTTCATACAGTGGCAAGGCTTCAATGTGTTTTTTCTTATTAAAAAAATTAACAACACTCATTTGGACACTCTGGGTTTATGAAATTACTATTAATGTATTCTAGATTAAGCTGACAAGTTGAATAAGCACTTTTTAAATGTTAATATCCTCCTAAAACGTGGATAATTTATAAGTAATCATCATGGGAGAAGCAGTATAATAGAAAATCAGAAACTGGCTTTAGACCTGGGTTGGTAACCATTGAACTTAATCCAATTATATAAACACAAACTTTATGTGTTTCTTTATCGCCCAGTTGGTACCATCCGTATTTCTCACCCATCACAGGCAAATGTTGAAACTTAAAGATAATATTAGATAGAGAGATGTAGGGAGTCTCCAGAATTTAAAACCAGCCTATGCAATGAACTACAGTGGGGCCTTGACTTACGAGTTTAATTAGTTCCATGAAGGAGCTCATAACTCAAATTACTCGTATGTCAAATCAAAAAGTGAACGAGTGAGACACGTGATGCTGGGATGATGTTGTGGTGTTCACTGTGACATTCGCTGCGCCAACTAGCGGTGGGGTATCTGAAGCTGGCTCATAACCCAAATTTTAGCTCGCAACTCAAAGCAAAAAATTGGCCGAGACACGGCTCGTATCTCGAAAAACTCGTTAGTCAGGACACTCGTAAGTCAAGGCCCCACTGTAAACAGTCAGTGCTTTACACTAAGAGGAGTGTGACTTCAATAATTTCTCAAGTACTAAAGAAAAGCACTAGTAGATAAATAACCTTCAAATCCCTACGATCTATTCATGTTTACCTTTTTCATACCTAAACCTCTTTTTTTAAGAGTTAAAGTGTGGGAACTTACCATTGCGCTAGAGAGAACAGCTAAGTTCACCAAGGCAGTAGCTACACTAGGGTGCTTTGGGCCAAAGGATTTCTGCCGGATTTCAACGGCCAGCTCGTACAAAGGTACAGCTTTGTCAAGTTTCCCCTAAAACACAAAAGTGAAATCTAACAAGAATATTAAAGCAATAAATATTACCTGATTAGAACTTTTCCACAAACAAACTTTTGTATCAAAAAGTAATTTTTGAGAAAAAAATTCAGAAGCATTACCTCCCAATTTAACGGTTAAGTTTATAGATAGCTAAACTCTAGTACAGTGGTTCTCAACCTTCCTAATGCCACGACCCTTTAATACAGTTCCTCATGTTGTGGTGACCCACAACCATAAAATTATTTTCATTGCTACTTCATAACTGTAATTTTGCTACTGTTATGAATCCTAATGTAAATATCTGATATGTAGGATGTATTTTCATTGTTACAAATTGAACATAATTAAAGCCTAGTGATTAATCACAAAAACAATATGTAATTATATATGTGTTTTCGGATGGTCTTAGGCGACCCCTGTGAAAGGGTCTTTCGACCCCCAAAGGGGTCGCGACCCACAGGTTGAGAACTGCTGCTCTAGTAGAATATGTAAGTAAAGTTATACTGAATATAAAACATTTTGTTTGATAATTCAGAAAGCTCTTTAGGATCACCCATTATTACTCACTGTTTCTGGTAAAGTAAAAACCTTACAATTAAAGTACAGGGTGGGGCAAAAGTAGGTTTATAGTTGTTTGTATGGAAAGTAATACAATTAATAAACAATTATGTAAACTTTTTGCCTCACCGTATATATGTTTGCTACTATACATAATTTGGAGATGACATCAAAATAAAAACTCATTTTCCACCAAATCCTTTTCAGATTTTTCCAATTATTTCTTTACTTGTTGGGGAGAAATAACAACAACTTCGTGCCTGAATGACCAGTAAAGGGTCCTGCAAAGTGTAGAGATGGCCTACTGCTGTTCTGTTACTGCCACTAAAGGAATGAGGCCCAGAAATCAGGATTTTAAAACGATTCCCAGGTGATTCTAATTTGCAGCCAAGGTTGAGAACCACTGCACTAAATGAAAGCAAATTCCTCTGGCATTTTTTGGAGAAAAGCTATAAAAGTTCCAAACATCCCTCTGGCTAGAACCCTATGGCAAAGAATGGTGTTTAGTTCATTACATTTAATTGTAGACAAAGAAAAAAGTGAAATTAAAATGCTCATTTTATCAACTACAAAAACTCTTCCTTTAGCCATGACAATTGGGTGATTTATGCTTATGATAGTTTAACACAGCAAATACAGGTGAATTTCAGAACTTCTGAAATGTAATATGAGAATAAGTTTAATTAGAATGCTGATGAATGAATGCATTTGTATTTAGAATGTATTTTAACGAAACCAAGCCAGCACTTTAATTTATTAAGTCTGAAATAATATTTTTAAATGTACTACTCAGCTATTTGTTATAAAACTATATCATTATGATTTAAAAGCTCATAGAAAATAATCTATCCAGCCCTGGCCAGTGTGGCTCAATTGGTTGGGCATCGTCTCGAGCATCAAAAGGTTGCCAGTTTGATTCCTCTCAGGGCACATGCCCAGATTGCAGGCTTGATCTTTGGTAGGAGGAGTGCAGGAGGCAGCCAATTGATGTTCATCACATTGATGTTTCTCTCCCTCTCCCTTCCTCTCTTTAAAAATCAAAAAGTCATTAAAAAAATCTATCAGAAGGCAAATGATGTTGCTGATGGCAATTATGGTTTAATAGCTATACTATTATAAAACACATGCAAGCACTCCAGGGATTACTTACCATTTTCTTATACAAGATTGCGAGATGCTTCACTGTGTAAGCCAAAGAAGGGTGATCAGGAGCTAGCGCTCGTCTCCGAATGTCTAAAGCTCTTTCATAAAGTTCTTCCGCCTTATCATACTGTTTCATTTCATTGCATAGAGCCGCCAGGTTATTCAAAGACTGGGCACAGTCTGGGTGATCTGGTCCCAGAACGCGCTCCCTCATTTCTAAGGAACGTTTCAGGAACTGGTCAGCTGTTCTATGAGCAAAACCACAAAATGGTTTAAACAGCTTATTCTCTAGAAATCAGAATCCCTAGTCCTGGTTAGTTGGAGAACTGAAGCATTTTTATTCTTAAATCCAAGAGAGTTAAAATGAAGGATTTAGCTCAAAATCCTTCCTTCCTCTTTCCCAGCCCTCTCCCCTTCCTGCTCTTTTCCAAAAATGAAAATGCTTTCCTGATAGTGTGAGGGCCTGAAACATCTGGATGACTGCCTTATTTCTCCACTTCACTTCTCCAAAAAGATGAACCTGTAAATATTTTCCAAAACAAACTTTTTATACCTTTAAAATAATTAGACCTGCCCTAGCTGGTTTTGCTCAGTGGATAGAGCATCAGCCTGCAGACTGAAGGGTCCCGGGTTCAATCCCACCCAAGGGCATATGCCTGGGTTGTGGGCTCGATCCCCAGTAGGGGATGTGTAGGAGGCAACCAATCAATGATTCTCTCTTATCACTGATGTTTCTATCTCTCTCCCTTCCTCTCTGAAATCAATAATATATATATATATATAATTAGACCTAACTCAAACAAAAGATTTTGATATTCACTCTTTATCCCTTTGGGGTTAGTACTTAATATTTTTTAATATAAGAACTTTTTGTGAAGTAGACTAAATATTTGTTACATTTTCTTGATGTCCAAATTATCAAATTTGTTATATATTTCTGACATCTAAAGAAGCCTCAAAACACTTTTTTTCAGAAAGTATAAATTTATCATTTTGTCTTTTATGTCCATTTAAACTGAAGAAGAAAACTAGCACCCATCTACATTCTTTTCTTTATTCTCCTTTAGTCTATGAGGTCTCGTGTATGATAGCCACACAAACTCACTTTTCATAAACATATAGAAAATACTAGGGAAGCTACAGAATAACTTTTTAGTTACTGAAGAAACCATGTGAAAGAAAACAGCAGAAAAAATGCCATGGTCTTTGTTAAGTGTGGCTATGTTCATAACATATACATGAAATCTGGCATGGTTGCTATTGATTTATTCTAGCTTGACTTGATAGAAATATAAAACACCTTTGCACCTAAGAGAAAAATGGATACTTGTTTTCATTATAAACACCACGGTACTCACTCCAAGTTATTCTGAAGATAGTAGAGAACACCCAGTTCATTGAGGGTCCGAGCATTGTCCGGTGTGTCCTTACCTAAGGTAAGCTCTTCTAACTGTAGGGCCCGTCTACGCAAAAGGGCAAATCCATACTGGAGCAAACACACGAAATTCACAGCAATCACTAAGTAAGTGCAATCTTTGGTTCTGAAACAATATACTGGGGTTCTACAAAATCCTTTCACCTTTTGTTCCATTTGGGAAGATTACAATTATTTTAAGTATCACACTAAGTTAATCTAATGGATATTGAAAATACACATATTTCCACATGACATCACATTCCAAAATTCATTAAAAACTATTGTGAAAATGATTATGAGACATTTTAGCAAAGTGAACTGAGTCCCAAAGTGCTTCAAAAGAACAGGAAACAGAATTAACTTGCAGATATTTACCAATCTCACTGCTAACCACTTAAACGTCAAGTATTTAAATTGCATGTAGCACTCGCAACTAGTAGATAAGTAAGTCTTGGAGATCAAATGTACAGTATAATGAATATAGACAAAAATACTGTATTATAATCATCAAACTTGCTAAGAGACCTAGATCATAATTATTCCCACAAAAAAATGATAATTATGTGATGTGGTGGAGGTGCTAACTATCATTTCAATGGCAATCATATTACAATATACAAATGTATCAAATCAATATATTGTACATCTTAAATTTATATTGTACTATATGTCAAATACATTTCAGTTAAAAATTGCACATGACATTTTAAGTTAAAACAAATAAACTCTATTTAGATTTTATGAGCAGCTTAGAAATGTGAAAATAATTTTTTTGTTCTCAAGGGTAAGAATTTCTTTGCATTTGAATCCAACATAAAATGTTAACTAAATTACTTTTACTCCCTTTTCCAACCTTTTAAAGAAAAGAATTGAAGCAGCTTTCAAGTCTACATCCAGAGTCTAACCTTCAAATGAACTAGGTTTCACTTAAAAATTTTTTTAGTTTTGAGATGTAATTGACATACCACACTGTGTAAGCTTAAGGTGTACAGTGTGATGATTTGATGTACATATAAACTGCAAAATGATTAACACAATATATAATTCTACTTTTAAGAGTTTGCTAAGTTGTACCTCCCAGTAATAGTAATATTTAAACACATTATAAATAAATAAAAATATTAATCAGTACTTTTCTAGAAGTCACTTAAAATACAAAGTTCTTAAAACTTGTGAGGTTTATGCATCTATATTATGATAGTCAAAGATGCTCTCTTCCTCTTTGTTCAAAACACAAAACAAAAGAAATCTCTCATTACCAAGTTGCCTTTTCTCCTTGTAGCTTTTTGACGAATCTTAAAGGATTTTTTCCTAAAATGTTCAGCTTGTTCATATCTTTAAAAAAAAAAATAAAGTCAAACAAAAGAAACATGTCCAAAGTAACATATTTCAGTGAAATGAAAGCACGCCTTACCTAGTGTAAAGCTATTTCTGGCTCTTAAAACCAGCACTGTTACATGGAATTACAAATCTTTAACACAACCCTTCATAAAAAAAAAATCTAACAAAACAGACCTAATACTCCAAGTAATGGACATTTAACAGATTTTTAACTGATACAATTCACTTTGGATCTCTAAAGGACAACATATCTAAATGAAAATCTAAAATTTTAGCTTGCTATATCACCTTCTCCTATAGAGGCAAACGTTTGGTCAAAGATAAATGTAAAATTCATCCAAAATTTGTGTGAACAAGATTTCTTAAAGTTAAAAATATTCCAATATGTATCAGTTATGATGGAGCAAAAGAAATGATTTCTGATGGAGGAAAAGGTGCCATTCAGTGGGTATCTCAGAGATACTTTTTATTATGCTACTGACCAGCAAACTTTGTCTATAAAGGGCTAGGTAGTATTTTAGGCCTCGTGGGCCATGCAGTCTGTCTCAACTACTGAATGAACTCTAAGGCTGAAGCAAGGAGGCAACCATAGACAATATGTAAATGAAAACAATGCAGCTATGTTCCCGTAAAACCTTGTTTACAAAGCAGGAGGCCACCTGGACTTGGCCAGGGGCCGAGGTTCTTAGCCCTTGTGTTAGTAATTCACTCCATGTTACAAAGCCAGTCAGTGAGGGAGCCCAGATTCCAACCCAACTATGTGACTACAAACCCCATGCTCTATTCTCTACTCATCTTCAGATAGAGATGGATCTTACAGTTCTAATTTTTTGTTTACCTCATGAAGACGCAGATCAACAAATAGTATTTGAATATGATGCATTAAAAAGATATAGGATAAGGAAAGGTACCCCGCCACAAAAGAAAGGCTACCACGAGTACATTTAGAACTGTAACTCCCCACCATAAAACCAGACTATTAGTGATCTCAATCTTACTTATTTTGTTTCTGGTACAAAGTTGCAAGTGCCTCAAGTTCACGAGCAATATGTGGATGGTCTGCGCCATAGGCATTTTCAGAGATTTCTAATGCCTGTTTGTACAATTGCTCTGCGTTGCCAAACTTCTTCCACTGCACATACACACTTGCCAACTGGTGAAGGGACTGAGCTACTCTCGGGTGATCTGGATCCAAGGCCGTTTCTCGAATTTCTAGAGACCTCTGCAAAGGTACCACAGCCTGGGGAAAAGATATTAAAGGCCAACTGAAGTGAGTGAAAAGTAGGAAAGTGTAAGATCTACCATCTGATTAGCACAGCAAATAAAAGCTGCATTAACTCCTGCAGGGAGAGCAGAGTAAACAGGAAAAACCCACCCTGGCTCTGATTCCTGCTACATTACCTGACTCAGCAGGCCCAGGTCCTTGAGGAAGCGCCCCAGGGTTTCATAGAGATCTGCTAAGCACATCATGTTCTCCTCGCCCTCGCAGTTTTTCTCGTACTGCTTCAGGGAATCGAAGTACTCGGCTGCCATCGCGCTTTTGTCTTTGCCCACAAACTGCCAGTAGCTCAGCAACTCAGCAAAGTGTCCTCTGTTTGAACAAATAACAGTAACTAGAGGAAAACAAACCTTAAAAGCCATTATCAAGTGAAAACGCCAGAATTCATATCAAGTTATGGACAATTTATTAGTAGGCAAGTATGGTGTAGTGAGGTAACACTGTGGACTCAGACTGTCACCTGAGTCCACTGCTCGCAGCTGCGTGATCATGAGCATGATGTCTGACCTCTTATGCCTCAACTTCCTCTTTTGCAGAGAGGGAGACACTGACACTACCAGCCTCAGGTGTTACTGTGAGGAGATTATGGCACATAGAAAACACTCCATAGTGTGGATTGTTACCATTAACATCATTATGGTTACTCAGCAACAGCAATTTATTAGAATTTCTTTTAGACACTTCACGATATGTAATCAATTTGGGTTCATCCAAAACCCTATTTTAAATGATGGAAACTAGAACAGAAGAAACTACTGAAACATAGGCAAACTGTCATAGGATATCTACTTTGTATTTTCATCATGGAATTGAATAAAAGTAAGCTTAATTATCTGTAGATGATATTAACCAGGAGAGCTGTAAACTAAAGAATGAAACTGATTTCAAAGGAATCATGAAAAATTGGAATGAAGATAAGAAATAAGTTACAAGGTACAACAAAGAAACTTGAGAGTTCACTCAGGAACAAAAAAAGTATGCAGCTGTTATGAGAAATGTTGAAATTTCTAAGTGAGACAGAAAAATCCCCTCATGAGGCTTAGCAGGTCAGTAGCTTGGCACATAAGGTGTGGTTCTGACACAGGCAAATTCAAATATCCCAGAAAAGACAAAACAATATATTTATTTTTAAAGGGTAATCCTTTCTTTAAACTCAACACCAGTCAGATTCTCTGTAGGGCTCAGATACACGTTGGGGTCTCTGAAGGCCTTGAGAGTCAGATATCGTAAACCACACCTCTCTAGGTGACTCAGAGTCAAACCTGCTTAAATGCAAGATTGGGTATGAAGCTGTCTCAAGATCATTCTAGCTCTGATTTTATGAAGCAGCCATACTCTGTCTTTTTACTTTTTCTCTTGGAAAAAAGTAAATCTCATGGTAATTTGCAAATTGTCTTAAATTCCTCCCACACTGTTTTATATTTTAGGTAGCACTGAAATTGGACTAATTTTTAAGTTAAAAATTATATTTTTCTTTGTTAAGCAGAACAACTGTTTCAATATATTTTTCTGGGGAAGGATGTTCTACACATAAGTTCCTTACCTTTTATAAAGGTTTTGAGACACAAAGAGATTGAGAAGACAATCGTGCAACCTCTGTTTACTTCCCTGCTGCTGAAAAAGCCATGGGAGTTCATCTGCGCTTCTCCAGGTCACTGGGTCCTGACTATAGAAGAGAAGGGACAATACTCAACAGTACCTTCCTGCCATGACATCGCTTCCAAAAGCTTCAGACAGATGCTGAAGCAAGAAAACTGTATCTAACATATGTCTCTGACTCTTTAATTGGTAAAACCAGAAACTTTACCAATCTAACTAAGAAAATAAATAGTTGTAATCAGGGACACCAAACAAACTCTAAAGGTATTTTCCTAAAATTGAATTATTTTAAAAAAACCCTCAATGGACCCAAATGGACACAAAGGTATACACAGACAACTCATATCTTTAAACTATTTAACTGGAATAAAATAAAAGTAATAAAGTGATCCTAAATTGATTTTACTTAAGTTTACATCTTTAGTATACTAGTAGTGTTATGACTTATGGAATTATCTTTTGTCCTTTTGACATTAACAAGATAGGGAGAGAATTTAATCTTTTTTGTAATAATTAAATGTTATACATTAAGTTATAAGTTAAGAAAGAGAAATAAGGACACAGAGGTAAAGGGGGTAGCAGAAGTTATAGGAGTACAATATGGGTACTTCTAATACCTTAGCTGCATGGTGAAGTAGTTGATTAGCTTCTGCCTATAAGAAGAAATAATGGTGGCATCTTCCATGTACTCCAGTCTCACTGTTTCCCAAGCCTAGGGAGAAAAAGAAAAAATACTGCAGTCTATTTTTTGTACTATAAATTTCTAAAACAGAATTTATAATCATTTCAATCTTACTGTTGTATAATAGAAATGGCATTAGAATATTTTAAAATTCAGGATGGATTTATGTGATAAACTGATATGAGAATAAAAATTCCTGTACTAATATTTTAAGAACTCAAAATGCAATTTCAAACTTTTATTTAATTACATACATTAAAATCTAAGAAATGTAAATCATTATGTTGTATACCTGAAACTAATACAATGTTGTATGTCGATTTTATTTCAATAAAAAAAAAGTCTTAAAGATGTGGATTTAAGAAGTACTAAAAAGAATAACAATAAAGGAGAAAGATAAGCCAGTGAAGTTATAAACATTTCACACCTACAAATATAATACAGCATACCCAAATGAAAGACTTCATTTCCACACACACACACACACACCATGGCATTGCAGATAAGAATTATATTAGTCACCCTTTCCTAAACATTTACTACTATGTGCTAGACATTATGTCTAACACCTCATAAGGACCAAGATCTATCTCAATTAATTCTCTTCACAACCCCTATGATATGCTGGAAAAGTCTGCCCAAGGTTTAAAGAACTTGCTCATCGTTCCATAACTATTAAGCTCTAAAGAGCGTGGTTGTAAACAGACACTCAGAATCCAAGCTCTTAATACATATATAACTATACCTGCAATTCAATAAATCACAAAATGGGAAAAATATATTTCCTCTTTCAAAATTACTTTTAAAGTAATAACCATGTCATAAAGATACTATACATAATATTATTAGTCAAATTAATAATACTAGCCAAATTTTACATCTAAGCTAAAATCATTGCAAAAAAATTTATAATACCAAATTTCAGATTTCAATTTTGTCTAACAATTCAAACACTTAAAATAATGTATAATATAGCACAATACAGCATGTAATGATATGTTGACATTTGTAAGTAAAAAAATCCCAACCTGATTAAAATAACATTTACCTGTAGATGCTGAAACTTGAGCAAGCCACAACCGTAAGTCAACAAACACATTTTGTGTAAACTGTGAATAAGGGAGGTCAAGACAGCCCAGGACATCTCTGGATAGAGTTCCATCAATTCTGATTCACTCACACCATTATGACTAACATTTATGAGGCAGAGAATCTAGGTAGAAAAACACAATAACAATGATCATAAAGTATTTGTTTACATAACTAACTGCCATTAAAATTTCCACAATTCTTTTAAGCTTATTGATTTCTTATTCAAATTGATAATTCAAATGATTTACTAAAGAAACAGATTTTTTAGCATGAAACACACTTCCCAAAATACACTAATCAAGAATATGATAGAGTGAAAATAAAGGAAATTTCATTTAAAGCAGTGGTTTTCAACCTTGGCTGCACATTAGAATCACCTGGGAATCTTTTTTTAAAATCCTGATTTCTGGGCCTCATCCTCCCGGAAATTCTGTTTATTTGTTATGGGGTGAGGCCCACAACATTAGTAACAAAGAAACAGAATTTCCGGAGGATGAGGCCCAGAAATCAGGATTTTAAAAAAAGATTCCCAGGTGATTCTAATGTGCAGCCAAGGTTGAGAACCACTGATTTAAAGTGTCAGGCAGCCCTGAAAGGAGAACACCTCATGCACCTGTCACTCACTGCAGCCTGCATGACCAGCAGGAAGAAGGAGGAGAATTATTTTAACAAGGGAGGGCGTTAATCACATGGGAATTTCATCTCCTGCTTTTAGGAAAAAAGAGGACTCCTTCCAGCCCTTACAGCCAATAGAAACTGTCACCACCTCGAACTCTTGTTCTTCTCCAATGAACTTTTGTTCAAAACAACTCTTGCCAATTTCCTTCTAAAACCTCATAAAAACAGGCCCTTCTTCATTATCTGGATTTGCCTATGGTTTTGCCGTAGCTTGCTTGTTCCCAATTGCAATTCTCTGCCATTCTTGAATAACCCCACTTTGCTAATAAAATAACTGGCTGCTTTATTTTTAAGGTTGACAATAGTGTCTATATAAAATATAGCATGCCAAAGATAAGAAACATATAGAAAAATTGTAGTGGAAGTTAAAACTGCAGGAAATGTATTATTAAAATGAATGACAAAGTCCCAATTCTGGGAAAATGGTGGAAGAAAATAGCCCTGCTACTACAAACGCCTGATATTGCCAGATGACATATAACAAAATATTTCTGAAAGCACAGTGGAGCCGGGGTAAGAAAGGGAAATCCTCCAGGTGCCAAAAATGATAGGAAAGTGAAAATCAGAGGGCTAAGTGCTAGGGGTGCTGTCCCTGGGAAAGTGGGAGAGGGATAGGCAGCCACCCCAGTAACTTCAGGACTTGCGTTTTCACACCCACAGTGGGGATGGAAGGTGAGCCTGTATGCCCCAGGAGGCAAAGAGGTAGAACTAGAATGCTTGCCAACACCAGGACCTTCCAAGGGCTGTCCCCTCAGGGAAGGGATATATGAGGAAAACATTAGCTAGAAAGTAAGATGAAAAGGCAAAACCCCAGGAGCCCCCAAGTTGGGAAATTAACATAAAAACGGATCAAGGTTCAAACTATAAGAGTTCAACAACGTTGCTAAATATAAAGTAAGTTTTCAGAAATTAAAACAACTGAATTTAATAAACAATTTTAAAATGTTATTTCATTTATTTCTTTGTCTGACGTTTCACTTAGCATAATACCCTCTGGTTCCATCCATGGTGTTATAAATAGCAAGATTTCAATCTTTTTTATTGAGTAATATTCCCCTGTGTATCTGTACCACATCTTCGTTATCCATTCATCTATCAATGAACATCTAAGTTGCTTCCATATATTGGCTACTGCAAATAAATAGTGTTTTTGTTTTCTTCAAATAAATACCCAGAATTGGAATTGTTGGGTTGTATGGTAGTTCTACTTTTAATTTTTTGAGGAATCTCCATAATGTTTTCTATAGTGGCTGCACCAATTCACAATCCTATCAACAGTGCATTAGGTTTTCCTTTTTTCTATATCCTCAATGGGTAAAAAACGGTGAAGGGGAATAAGGTATAAACTTCCAGTTATAAAATAAATAAGCTACGGGAATGACTAACAGGGGTTATAGTCAATAATATTGTAATAACTTGGCAAGGTGACAAATGTTACTAGACTTAGTGTGGTGATCACATCATAAGGTAAATAAATGTCAAATCACCAGAAACTAATATACTGTTGTATGCCAACTACTCTTTAATAAAAATTAAAACAAATATTATTTTAACTACAGAGTCCTTAGAAACAAACCTTAACAAAGGATGTGTAAGACCTTTATTGAAAGTCATTAAAGAAGATGACTAAAAAATGAAGAATCATTTAGCTTTCCATAGAGGAAAGACATATAATTTATTTAACTCTATCTCTAAATTCAATGCAATTCCAAAGAATTCCAAAATAAGTTTCCACGGCACTTGCTGAGCCAATTCTAAAAATACACACAGGAAATTAGCCAACAAAATCATAAAGAGTAATATTGACAGGGAGCTTGTCCAACCAAATGTTAAAGTTCACTTTAAAGTTCTAATAGGTAAGACACTGGTATTGGCAAGGAATAGGCAAAATTGGAACAAGAAAAGCTTAGAAATGGACTCGTGTCTATATTCTGGACACTCAACAGATAGCATTCTACATCAGTAGAAAAGATGTACTATTTAGTAAAACAGCCACATACTAGTAATAAAAGATTAAAAAGTAGATTCCTCCTCATAAAATAAACAAAAATAAATCAACATGAATTAAGGGCTTACACATGAAGAACAAAACTGTCAAATATTCTGAAGGGGAAAATATATATGAGAACACTTTTATGATAGCAAAGGATTTTGAAAAGAAGATAACCCATAAAAGCAACTGTTGATAAAACTTTGACACCATAAAGTTAAAAGATAAGACAAGGAAAGATAAGGAAAAAGACATTTGAAAACTCTCTAACAAAGGATTTGTAGTCAGCATGCAGAACACTTAAGAATGCCCATAGATCCGAACAACTCAATTAAAAAATGTTTAAAGGACTTGAACAAAGAAGTCACATACAGGAAACAAGAATAACTAATGAACATGAACAGATAAAAAAATCTCACTGACAATCAGGAAAATGCAAATTTCCCAAGATATCACTTCTGGACACAAGCACACATTCCTGTATATGCTTGAAATGTATTTGAGCACAAATTTACCAAAATTTGCTATTTAATTCACATATAAATGCAAACAAAGCAAAATAATCTTCCTTTGATGAATTTACTACACTTTACCTGTTTCATGAGTTCTTTATCCATATCATTCGCCATGGACTCCTGGATGGATCGCAGAACAAGTCTGTATAATGAAACTGTATCTTGACACTGGAAACACTGATGAAGAATTTTATCTAAATTGCCTGATCTCCCAGCACTGTTGGAATTGAAAATAGATTTAATTTTTTATAGACTGCCAACATCTGTGAATAACTGGGGGTAGATTAAAAACAATGTGGTCTTGCTCAGCAAGCGTGGCTCAGTGGTTGAGTGTTGACCTATGAACCAGGAGGTCATGGTTCGATTCCCTGTCAGGGCATATGCCCGGGTTGCAGGCTCAATTCCCAGTGTGGGGCGTGCAGGAGGCAGCTGATCAATGATTTTTCTCTCATCATTGATGTTTCTTTCTCTCTCTCTCTTTCCCTTCCTCTCTGAAATCAATAAAAAACAAAAACAAAAAAATACCACAATGTCGTCTCTATATTTTATATTGCAACTGATAAGAACAGGAATTCAATAAAACATGATACAGAAAAATGGTAGTTTTATGGGGCTGCTGGAGTCATCAAATTTATTTTAGTGTACCATTTAATTCAATTCAATAAACAAATGCTGGTTCTTATTAAATTCAAACAATTACTATGTATTATAGAACATAAGAATGAGTAAGACATGGTTCCTATCATCTAGAAGCATGCTACCTACATACTAGAAGCAGGAAAATAATTATAAATAAATATTGTTAGTTAGTTAGCCATGCAAATTAAAATTTTTAAAGCCAGAATTTGAAAAACATCAGGCTAAAGAAAATCAGTAAACCAGGGGGAGAGGAGGGTGTTTTAAATTATTACACAATATTTACCAGTAGTTTCTTTTTTAAATATAAAGATATCTAAACAGAAAAAAAATCAAAACAAAAAGAAGTGGTCCATAATCCCTCTTAAGTAGATAATTTCAATAAAAATTGTGAAATGTATAGAAAGTGACTCGCACTCTTGAATTATACTTATTCAAGCTACTGATAGGCACAGAGGCCAGATTCACTGCTCAACTGGGAAGCAGGAAGGAACAGTGCAAATATCATGGACAAGTGAAAGTTTTAGAAGATTTTTTTCATTTGGTTCTTAAGATGAGAATGTGGAATTAAGAGACAAGAGTACCAGGTTCAGTGTCTAGATGCATTGTGCTAGGATTACTATCTATTGCAATGAAAAAAAAAATCATTTTTACCTCTGGTTTTGAATGGACAAACAAGTAGTCTGAGGCAGTACTGAAGAAAACAAAGTAATAAAACTTTCTAATGCTTATCTAAAAGCAAATTACTGATGGATATGTAAAATGGAATAATTTATTTTAAGATAAAATGTTTATCAGAATTTGATAACAGAGACAGCTACAAATTCCTACCCACATACCTACCTACTGATAGTCAAAGGCACCGGAAGTAATATTTTTAACACCTCAGTTGACTCCTCACTTCCCCAGAGCTAGGGGTCTTAAGCAGGTGACCTTGAGCACTCATGGATGGGCCCCAAATGAGGGCAAAGATGGCCTTCTTTGGCAACCCCCAGTAAGGAAAAGGTTAGTGTGATGAAAATTACACAAACATATTCAACAAGTTATGGTAATTCACAGGTTATCGATCTTCAGTTACAAGTCACATTCTCACAGGTTGTTAGTATCACTGTTAGAATAAACAGAATCTGAGTGGCCCAAGAGATTGTCAGAGTGATCAGTTCTCCGTTTCATGCGGTGAGGAAGCAGTCTGCAGCAAACATAAAACATGCAGAAGGTCATGTAAAAGAATCGCCACTTACCATGCAATCATTTTGCCGAAAAGGGTGACATAAAGGGCATTGCAGGTTGCAGCAGAACGACAATGTCGTTCTAGCTTCTTCTCCTGCACAGTTTACCAGAAAACAAAACAAAAATACAAAACCACCCTGGAATTAAGTGGCCTTTACTACCGAGCCATCAACAAACATCCCTGCAGCAATGACACGGTTCCTGCCATCTCACCAGCAGCATCACTGCCGTGTGGTCGTGGACCACAGGTGAAGTCGACATGCAAATGCTTTTTTGCTGTTAAAATACCTGCTTAATATAATATAGTAAAGTAAACCTATGACCAAAATTTTCTTTATTCCTTCTTCTATATCTGCTATAGGTTTAAGAGCAAATGCATTTAACACAGTAATTACTAAGCTCCAATTTTCCTTATAACAACAGAAAATATTAAATATTAAGTCTCATATAAGGTGTTTTAATGGAAAGCTGATAGAGAGAAAAAGATAGCAGCACAATTAAAGACACTTACCTGCTCTTTACTCAATTTAATTTCTACAGAGTGGCACTCTGCAATTATAATAGATTTTGCATCTTTCGGATTTAAAGGGTCAAGATGAAGTGTAGGCCACAACCTTTTATTTAAAGAAAAGGAAAATGAAATTATCTTCTAATAATACCACCAAAGCTGTACTCTACCCACAAGTCAAAATCCACTACAGGAATTAATTTTTTATACTGCCTTTATTAAATAAGCAAAACTAATTTGTTAATCCTATTAAGTAACATTATTTCATTTATTCTAACATCATTACTTTCAGCTATTAATCACAACAAAAACTGTACTAAAATAAACAGCATGGACATTAGATAGTGAAGTGGTAAAATATTTCTAGTTCTAAGTACACTATCGTAAACACAGGTATTAGTACCTATGAGGAACAGTACAAGACACAGTCTTTGCCCACAGGTAATTTGTAATCCAATTGAAATTTATTCACTTTACAATATGCATTCTCAGTGGAGTGGTGACAATTGTTTGTTGGGGGTGTGTGTGTGAAAATATCTTATTCTTTTGATGTATAAGGCACAAATATATTCACATATCTGTTTCTATGCATAAACTGATATACGTATATATATATCCCATGTTCAAAGGCTGTTAAATCGCGTTGTTTACCCATATCTTCAGAAAAAAATCACTCCTACTGTCATGGTAAACAATCTGCTTCCCTATTTATAATGGTCTGGCCCTCTAGCAACTTCAGCGCAAAATTATAGCTAATTTGCCTACAAACATCAGGTGGTCATAATAATCTGGCCACTCAGTGTACAGTATATGTGTGGTATTAAATTTCTTGGCAGGGAGGTGATTAGGAATAAAATTAGTAAAAAGGCTCCATGTGGGGCAAAAATAGGTTGAGAAATACTGCCCCATAGAATTCAACCACTTCATCCCTTTTTTGAGGGCTGTTAAAGTGAGCTCGCATTTCAGGATAACAGGTGTCTTAGCCCAGCCCAACCCCATTTTCCTCATCCATAAATTTGTCTACTAGACATCACTACTCAAGTTATAATTGGCAACTCAAACGAACCATGTTAGAAAACAAACCTGCCTGTCCTTTGTGCTTCTCATTCAGCTCATAGGCCCACAACTTACTAATTTCTCAAGTCAGAAACTTGGGAGTCATCCCAGCCTTCTCCTCTCTCACATCCCAGATTTAACCTCCCACCAAATCCTTATTGATTGCATATTTATCCTGGTATTGTCCACTTCTCCCCATCCTCACTGCCACTTTTATAAAAAATACAAAAACACAAACACATATGAAAAACCTTGCCTTGTTTGTACTTAAAACATTTCATGTAATCTGAAAGAACTGAAGTTAGCATCATACCTCCATGCTGGAGGGCATGTTTCTACATTCACAGAAACAATTACTCTTACATTCACTGGCAGGGGATCTATCAGCCATTTCATGTGTTTTTCAACTTGCTTAAAAATATAAAAACAAAATTCAATCTATTAATTCAAAATATTTCAAAACAACCCATAACAGCTCCCCAGGTAAAATGATAATTCTCTTTAAGTTTCTCAGTACTGTTAAGGATAAAATCTTATTTTTGGAAGATTTATCTCAGAATAGTAGAAGAACAGGTGGCAAAAGACTATTGCTGCTGATCTTAAGTCTGGACACTTAAGGAAAAGTCCAAGCCCTAAAAATATGTCAAAATGAACAATTTTTGCTAATTGTGAAAATTTGGTTGGTCTTTCCCAATAAGATATTAGCAGGTACTGGCATACAGTATTTTTTTTAAGTCCACATGCTTCCTCTTCAGAAATTAAGCAGAAATAAAAGAAACAATGTCAATATTTTCTTCTCAGGAACATATAAATTAAATGCCTGCTAGGGTCATTACTGATACTTTTGTCTCTTTCTGAGTATATCAGTTGGTTACAAAGTGAAAACAGTACCTGAACTTGATCTATAGAATCAATAATGATGATGATGCTGCCTTGATGACGTGCAGAGAGTTTTTCCAGCCAACGAGGAAATTCTTCCAGAAGCTTCGCAGGATCCAGGGTCAGAGCGGACACTGACCAAGAGTGCTGCATCAGCTGCCAGATGAGAGCACACAGACTGAAGTAGTTGTACTTTATCGCAGCTGGTGAGAAATAGGTCTATCTCTGCACTTTGAACCAAAACCAAGTCACCAATCGTATTGAGTATTATTTTTAATCTTATGCAAAACCAAAACAAATGGGTAATCACGGAAAATTGGTTTATCATCAGGTACTCAGCCCCAACAAAATCTGAATCTAAATAAAAATTCTGAAAATTCCAAAAGATGGCATACTATACCTTTAGAGTAAGTCGTTTAATAATCAAGGAAGACTCTGAGCTGGTTGACATGGGCCTCCCCACAAAATGAGAAAGAATTAGTGTATTAGGGGAATTCTTCTGTTGTAATTGAATCCTGAAAGAAGAGCTTTTATAAGACTGATAAAGCTCCTTTACTATCAACTAAAAAAGAATTCACAGTGCATGAAGCATCAAATGCTACTTATCAGCAATCACATGGTCAATTTTGAATAAATATGATAAGTTTCCATTTTTACTCTAGTTTTAGATCCTTTTAAATTAACCATTAAAATTTATAGATTCATTATAATTACAAGTTGATATTAACTAATGTAAGCCAAAATAGTATACATTTGAATTTAAAGTATTAGTAAAATTAGCATTACCCTCTAGTTTCAAATATGGTAGTAGAGGAAAAAAGAAGTTTCTTTTACTAAGTACAAAAACAGTATTTTTTCAAACATAACTTTAAATAAAAGGCAATAAAAAAGAACCAACATGTGCTAACTCTTCAATGTAAATAATTATGAAAGAAAATATTTTCACTAATTATCTTTAAATAATATAATGAACTGAAATGAAATGAAAAGAATGTATTAGTTTATATGAACCTTAGTCCATAATTTGAAAAACTAGTTTGCATTCATATTAAAGGTTATTGTCTATTTTTATATTCTTTATGACTTATTTCACTCTAAATGGTCTTTGTCTTGTTTCACATAATTTAAAATGCCAATGAAACCTTTAAGATGAAGCCAATAAATGAAAATAGAGGCACATTCCCTCTAGAATTCACCTAATTTGATGTCATATTGACCACTCCCTTACAAAGCACTCCTTTACCTCTGACCTACATCATTTAGCTACATAATCACAAATGCTCAATTTCCTATTCCCTTCTCATTCTGTATCTTCTCTCTAACATATGTATTGTGTATACTTCAAGGCACAAATCTATTATTTCACTCCTTTTTGCTCTTTTAATGTTCAGTACAGACTAGGCAGGAAGGCAGACATTTTGTTGAATGAATTTGGTGATTCAAATGACACAATGATAACAATTTAATTGCACTGAATCATACCACTTTGATAAAAGCAGGGACTTTCCAGAGCCTGGTCCTCCAGATATGAGCAGGGGTGGAATTGGTGCTGGTGCTGCCACTAGATCATTGAGGCGTTCATAATACTAGAAACAAAAATGAATTTAAATTGTGAGGAACCACATGCCTCTTAGAATAGTAAATAGAGCCAACACCCTCTGAAATCACTGGTAAAAAGTCGCATGAGAAAATGGAATCTACGTTTAGTCAATAGCACCCTCATAATTACTTATTTTTATGACTTGTTAAATATGCCTAAAGTAGTAAACAACAAATGGGCCCCAATTTCTTCTACACATAGTATTGTGATGAATAATGAAGGAGGGACAACACTTAAGATCCCCATGGGGTTTTACAAAATTCAGATGTTTTGCACAATGCTGCAGGGAGGCCACTCTACTAACCTAAACCCCAGAAAATACCACAGAAGGCCTTGATGGGGGTACCACAGGCATCCTCGAACTCCTGGTCAAAACACCTGTTCTAGAGACCACCTCAGTTTCCAGGGCTTCTGAGGACAGATCCAAACAAGAGCAGGTTTCATCTGAGGACTTGAAGTCTCCCAGTTGCTACAGAGAATCAGGTTAGGACAGGCCACCTGAGATCTTTCTGAAATTAAGTAAGCTCTAGGCAAAGTCCAGGAACCATATTTCCCAGGCTTTCCTCAGACACTAAAAACTGGTTCAGAGCTGAAAAGGACACCTTCAGAAAACCAAAATATCTCAGTTCCTATTAAGGAGATTCCAAAGTTACCTTGGGGGCTGAAATGTTTATTAATTGTACCAATGCTCTAAATGACAGCTGATAAAGATTTAAAGGAATTTGTACTAAGTAGTTTGTGGCTTGCTTTAGGGTAGCAGAAATTTCCAGCAATTACAATAAATGATTACCTGGTATAGTTTCTCAATCAATTTTCTGTTTGTCAAATCTAAATACAGAATATATTTTCCAGGAACTCAAATAATTCTGATAGTAATGATACCTCTGAAGAAGCAAAGGCTCCATTGATTTAATTGCAAATCCTAACAATTTAGTCCACTGCCCTAAATAAAGCCCATTTATAGACCCATGGTTCCCAAATTAAGACCTCTTGCAATAGAAGAAAGAGCATAGGATTTGGAGCCAAAAGTCTTTGGTTCAAAGCCCAGATCTACAATCTACCCACTGTGTGCTCTTAGGCAAACCATAATCTGAATCTTAGGTTCCTCATTTATAAAATAACAATAATAATAGCTCTCTCATAAAATAACAATTTTATATTTCTCATGTGCCGGGTACTGTGCCAAGTGCTTTACATACATTATATGGTTTAATCTACCCAACAACCCTGTGGTAGGTACTATTAATTATTCTCATTTTATAGACAAAAAAGTCCAAGTTTAGAGCTAAGTAACCTGACCAAAACCTCTAGTTAGGAAATGGTGGAACTAGGACATAAATATACACAGTTCAAATTATAAAAATATAGCTGTTAGTGACAGCAACTGTACAATATTCTTTAAAATATTAGTTCTTACATTAATTCAAAAAGCACTCCAAATTTTTTTATCTTGGACTTAAGATTCTTTGAGTACTTCAAATTCTGTTAGTTGTTTTTTTAGATATTTAAGGCATGACCTGCCATTCACAGTAACTCCTGTGCTTTGTTTTCTGAATGCTTGATATTTTGATTTCTCCAAGAACTGGAAGAATAGATAGCTTTATTATTTTTATCAAACTTCCTAGATATCCTAATCTTGATCTGATGAATTGCAGATGGAAGCATAATGAACATGTGGTTTATAAATCCTAATCTGTAATTAAAAATGTTTGATGTTCATAAGTATATTTTGGTCACATATCTTTCATATGATATGTACCTAAGCACATGTCTCAAGCCATGAGGGCAGGCACTAACACAAATATGAACCTTGACTATATTTAGCTGAAAACACAATCATAATGCAGTCTTTAAATGGAGATTGATCTTTGCTGGAACAATATTCCAACTTACTTTCTCAAATCCCAACTCATGGGCTGAATTTGAAGCCTGTTGAAAAGTTTCCATTTGCTCTTGTTCATCATGTATGTCCCACAGAACATCGCCAAAATCGTCTTCTTCTGGAATAGAATCCTCACTGCCCAAATCCTTAGTGTCCAGGTCTGTGTTCTCAAACCCTAGGATGTCCTGAACACCAAGAGCAAGCACATGAAAATGAATGAAACGCGTAAAGACCTTGAAGCAGCATTAGCACACAGGTCTAAGGTGGGCTACACCTACGAAGGAAGGCAAGCCCCAAACTATGGCCTTTCGTATAGTACCTATAAGAATAAACTTATAACTATAAGTTCAAAATTGTTGTTGAGAAAATCAAAATTGATAATGTCACTATTTATGCTAAGGTATATTATACAAAATGCATCGCCAGAAGTCTTATTATGTTTTGGGGCTCATTTTTTCTCTGACAACATATCTCCATACTTGTAATGCAAGTTCACTTTTAAAATTAATCTAATCTCTTACTTCTCAAGTAGGGTCCCCAGTACTCTGGGGGAGGTTTCAGCAAGTATGGGCAACCATAGGCTGAACATAGTATATCTTCCTCTTGTGCCCATTTCACTTAAAGATAAAGGCTTATTTTTCTTTTCATCATTATTACCATTTTTGCTAATACATGATTTTAAATGATTTTTATATTAAAATTAAACACATGTATACTATTAAGCAGAATATATAACTCTCATAAATTTTCAAGATAATACTTGAGATATCATAGAAACTTTCAGCTCCAGACCTCTAAAGGTGTATTTTCACCCCCGCTATTAGGAATAATATGGTGGAAAAATTTGAGAAGGATTTTTCTAATATAAAAAATTCAAGGTGCACACAGAATCTGAGATTCACTATTAAATAGAATGAACATTTTCTCTTAAATACTTTTTAGCTAGCACTTTCGTAATTCATTTTACACTTAACGGTATTGAAGCATCAAATAGCTTTGTGAGACAGATGAGAGGTAAAGGTTTATGGTACTAGTAATAGCACATGATACTGCAGGATGAACTTCCAACAGAAACAATGGCACTCTCTCTGAGTCTTGTTTTCAGAAAACAAACAAGTGATTTTCTCTGGAAAACCCAAATTTATGGAAAACAGTCTTAAAAATTTTAGATGCAATCTTGCAGGAGATGCATATTTACCTGTTTAATAATCTTTTCCACATAACTATAAGTTTTATATACACCTTCTGCAGGATCTCCTGTGTGATCAATGATCTGGAAAAAAAGGACGTTTAACAACAAGAAGAAGAAACAATAACAACAGGAGGAAGTGGGGTTGGGGAACATTTTTATAGTGCTCATGTGTCACGAACTGAACTGTACTAAGTACATTCCCTGTCTAGTAGCTCATTTATCCTCACAACAACCCTCTGAGGGAAACACTGTGGTTACCTCCATTTCACAGAAGAGGAAACTGAGACAAGTTAAACTTGTCCAAGGTCTGAAAAGGGATTTAGTGTGAACAATGCTGTAATAAAACAATGTTGCAATAACCACTTTATATATATATATATATATATATATATATATATATATATATATCCTTTAAAATACATCATAATCAATTTTTATGCCAGTAAAGCTAATTCTACAAAACAAAAAAGCAAAATGGTATTTGGCTATATAAAATGGTCTTTTGAGTATTGCCCTGGCTGGTGTGGTTCAGTTGGTTGGAGCATCGTCCCATATACCCAAAGGTGTCAGGTTCGGTTCCCGGTCAGGGCACATGCCCAGGTTTTGGATTCAACCCCAGGCAGGAAAACATGGGGGAGGCAACTTATTGATATTTCTCTCTCTCCCTTCATCGTTCTTAAAAAAATAAAATAAGAATGCCCTATCTGTGAAGAATATGTGTATTACTAATCCTATCTAATAAAATGGTAGTATGCAAATTAACCATCACTCTGTCACAAAGATGGCAGCACCCATAGCCACAAGATGGTGGCACCCAGTCCCCTCAGCCCTGCTGCTGGAGTGTCCGGTCCTGTCAGCCCCATTGGGGGGAGCAGCGGCTGAGCGGCATGGCTGGATCTGCCCTCAGACGACGAGCCCCAGCGTCCTGCGCGCCCTGGCCCATGGAGGGAGGGAGGGCGGGTGGGCCTTTGGTCAGAGGCTGGCCAGGGCGCAAGGGACACTGGTGTTGTTGCAGGCTGGGCTGAGGGACCCCCCCGCCCCTCAGTGCATGAATTTCATGCACCGGGCCTCTAGTAAATGATAATGTCTGTTAAGATTACAATAAGACACTGGTTTTAAAAAGCATATCAAGTGAACTGGTATGGAAGTTTAGCCTACATTTACATTTTTAATATGGTAAAGAGATCTTATTTTATCCTATTTTCATAAAATAAACTTATCCTTATAGTATACTAATTTGTAAAAGCAAGATTTATAGAATAGAATAGAGATAAGGAAGATGAATTAATATCTTTTTCTATGAGACCTAGTGGATTAAGGTGATAATAAAAACAAACAAAAAAAGAAATGGATCTGGAGATTAACTATAATAAAAAAGCACTTTATTTTGGTTTAGGCTCTCTGGTTTAATGTTATGCTGGTCTCAAGCTATCTTTTCAATACTACATGATGTAAGAAAAATGCTTGTATTCACATTTGATCTTATTTTCTGGCTGAAATAAAGAGAACTGAAAACTTTTTTAAAATCCTGGAGTTGTTTTCTATTGTATTCCTAACATTATAGACATCTACCAAGTTAACTCAGTGTGCAGTCATACAAAGCCTGTAATCTCCATTTTAAAGTATATCTCACCATGAATCTAGGGATGATCAAATCTCCTTCACTCATCATCAACTTTTTGTTTTTCCCAGTGCTCTTAGGAAAGGTTACTATGAAAAGGCTCCTTCTTACACTAATCCTTGGTCAATAGTAGATAGAAAATGAAAAGAGAAAAAGAAAGAAAATTAAAAAAGGTTAGAGGGAAAAGAAAAGCACAGAAAAGAATCTGAGTTGTCCACTCACAAGTCATATTTTTTTCGTCATATATTGATTGCTATTTTTTCCTCTCTCATAGTCTGCAATTAATCTGTCAGGAAATCTATTGACCCTACTGTCAAAGTTTATCCAGAATCCTGCCATTTCTTATCACTCCCTCTACATCACCCTGGTCCAAGCCACCAGCACCTCTCACATGGATGACTGCAACATGTCTCCAACTCTGACCTCTCCCACAATCCCCCAATCCACAGTGCATTCTCCACCCACCAGCCTAAGAGACTCTTCTAGAATAAAATTTCTCCTGCTGTTGCTTTAAGTCCTCCAATGGCTTCCCATCTCATTCCAAGGAAAAAAACCAAGGTCCTTAAAATGTTCTCCAGGGTACTTCATCATCAGTGCCTTCTTATCTTCCCTATTAATCCCCCTCTGCTCCAGCCACTCTGGCCTCCTTCCTCTCTCCAAAATGCCAGACCACTCCTACGCCATGGCCTTTGCTCTAGTACTTGCCGCTGCCAAGCATGTTCTTAAAAAGCAACCCTAAGAATTTTACCTTGGCTTTGTTGGTCTTGTTCAGGTTGGCAACTTGGTCAATCAATTGCTGGACAGAGTCGGAACTGACTTTCCCATCCTCCAAACGATGATAAATTAATCGTGGTTTGCCTTCAGGATTTTTCAGAAAAGCTTCTTCACAGTCTTCCAATAAAAGGCTAGATTGGAAATCAGTATTTCTTTTACTATATTGCACAGTGACAGCAAAGAGTCAGTCAACCTAAGTGTCAATAATGGGGGCTTACTGCAATAAAAAGTGGCCAGAGAAGGCCAGTTGCAGAAGAAGTGAAGCTTTCCAAAAATGGATGTTTTTATAGCTCTCTTCCAGCTTAGTGTTAAAAATGTTTATTATCAGACAATGAGAGTGCATTAAATTTAATTGTGCATTAAATTAAAATTTAAAGCATATATAACTTTAATATTTTTAAATCTAGTATAAAACACTCTCAAATATACTGTTACACATGGCTTCCAATAATGGGTCAGGTGCATGAGACTTTGCAAATAAATGAAAAAGTTATTTTAACTCCTATAATAAATTACAGAATTTTCAGTTTACCTTGGTAAAGTTAAATGAATGAATAAGATAACTAATGAACTCTTCTCAATTTCCCATTTTCTTACTGTGAGGTACTGATTTTCAACATCTATTGGAAAATATACAGCATGGAAAAAATATCCCATTGTCTCACACATTCTTTTAAGTTTAGGTGAATAGTCCTAGAAACAAATTAAAACATGTAAAAGCACAACTTATTTAACTGAAGATCTAGTCAGCTTTATACTACTTTTAAAAAACATGCTTTAGAACAGGTTATGTGGGATATTTTCTGATTTAAATTTTAAAAATATATTAAAAAGTCTTTAACAGAAAAGGCAAGTTTCTCTATAAAACAAAAATAATATTAGCTCAATAACTTGGCTGTTTCCTAGCTCAGAAAATTTGAATTTCATATAATTTTCACATGTCAAAAAATATTGTTCATTGGATTTTTTTCAACCATTCAAAAATGTAAAAACCAATCTTAGCTCTGGGTCATACAAAAATAGACAGAAGGCCAAATTTAGCCCAGAGGCAGTAGTCTGCCGACCCCTGCCTTAAATTACCCCTAATGGCTGCTTTGAGCAATGAAAAACTACAACAAGGATTAAACTTTGTTATAACCTGAAACAGATTCAAGATTGGGTGGACAGATATTAACTAAAGCAGGTACTATCAACAAGGGTTTTAAACATTGTGGAGAATGTGTAATGAAGCACTCAAAAGCACACAGTTCCTTAATTTAAAAATACTGATAATACTGAGCAAGATTTTCTCTTAAGAAAAGCCTAAAATGCTTCCTGCTCTTTAAGACATATAATCTAGCAGGTAGTAAACTACTTGGTTTAGATGTAGTAGAATCAGAAATAGGATACAATATTAACTTGTACTTTAAATCAGTGAATAGAGAATTTACAAATGTCCTTACCTTAAGAAAAAGATCCATTTCAGGCTGGGTTTCATCTGTATAAATGAGGTAACATCTGACAGTGTTACTCCATAGAGAATGTGAAAACAAGGGAGTAACTTGTAATAAACTAGCTACAGCAATATCCCAGTCATCTGAAAAGAAAATTTCTCTTAAGTTAATGGAAAAAAAAATCACCAGAGGACATTTGACAAGATGATTTTTAGAAAGTCACAATAGGCATCATAGAATAATAATTTCACTTGTTAATACTAACATAGCTTCTTTAATAACATATTAGAAGGCAAACAGTCCTCCAATGCCAAATTCTATTCTGGGGCTTAAAGCAATCAATGTCACCAGTGGTCTTTGCTGGGGTACTGGTGGTTCTGGTCAAATATCATGCAACTGTGCCGCATGGGCTGTTCAATTAGTTTGCTACTTGAGGAGAGCCCACATTCCCAGGCTGTCCTATGGTTTTACCTACTTATTATTCTTGAAATATATGAGTCAAAAAGGAAGTTCAAGAATGGTATAAAATGAAAAGTAACCATATGCTATTTACTGTGAGAGAACATTTTAAGAAATATTTGGTTAATACAAAAGGCATAATTTAAAAAATGATTTTCATTTTGCTAATCTATCTATCTATCTATCTATCTATCTATCTATCTATCTATCTATCTATCTATCTGCCTAAGCAACCGTTTGACCAGTAGCTATGATGCGCACTGACCACCAGGGGGCAGACGCTCAATGCACAGGCATTGAAACATGAAACAAACTAATGAATCTCAAAGAGAAGTGGGGAGGGGGGAGGGTGGGAAAAGATTAACCAAAGATCTTATATGCATACTAGAGGCCTGATGCATGGATTTGTGCACTGGTGGATCTCTCAGCCTGGCCTCTAGTAGATAAATAATTTTACAGTTTTAAGAAATAAGAGCAGACCTACTTATAACATCTCAGATCTTCATGGGTACTAAAATTCTAAACAGATCTTAGAGCTGTTTTGGAGACCTAAATTACATAAAAATAATGAAAATATTCTTTTGATTAAGAATACTATATTACATAACTGAGGTTTTGTATTCTACTCTGCAACCTGCTCTCACCTTCAACACTTATCAAAGATGCAGAGGGAAAGACTGAAAACGACTATTTCTCAGTTAATCTACATTAGACTCTCACTGCTCAACTAAACTACCTGAGAATTCAGAAGTTCAGTTATTAGAACCTGAATGGACAGCCTGGCCAGGGAGCACCATCTGATCCTGATGTGAATAGGTAACTTCATCAGTCTTGGTCAGTGACAGCACCAGAACATGATGGTTTAACAATGGAAGACACCCAGTATACAAATCTCATGTTTTGCTGATGGTAGTTGGCCCAGCATAAGATTATAGTACATAAACAGTCACTACATTAGCTAAAGTAATTAGCAAATGTGTGTGTTACCTCTGTTGACGTTTGCAAAGGGTCCTTCCACATCTATAGAACTATGTGCGAACTCTGGGCCCCTGAAGGACTGCTGAAGTTGGATCATACTCCCTATGGAAGGTTCACTTCCCAAGGCTCCACCAGGCCAATATTCACACTGGGTTCCAGCAGCTGTTAAAGCACAAGATTGTATCTGAATGTTCAAAAACTTAGTATTCTCAACAGGATTGTTAATTTATAAATACAACCAATATTCAAACTTTAATGATTTTTAAAGTACTTCGTCATCCACTTCTGGCAAGTTCTAAGTTGCAGGTTAATATAATTCTGGTTATCATCTCAAATTCAAAGAGAATTAAAAAGAGAAAGATAAAAAAATTAAGAATACAATACAATACACAGATGATATCTCATAGAATTGTACACTTGAAACCTATGTAATATTAGTAACCAATGTCACCACAATAAATGTAATTCAAAAAAGAATAAAACAACCAAAGGAATTATAATAACAGATAGAGGTTAAAAACACCCCCACATACTAGTAAAAATTCTAAAAAACATTTCAACTATATGGTTTAGGTATCAATGTAAAATTTGGTATCAAGGAAAGAATTTCAAAGGAGTACTATTATTAGCACAGCAGTAATTAATGTAGGTAATTCATTAGGCTGTAAGCTAAGGATGTAAAGAATACATCCTCCAATCTCCCAGAGCAACAAAACTGTTTGAATCAATAGGTACTTAAGAACTTACTGATATTTTATGTAAATTATATTTGCCAGAATATCTATATGGCATCCTTGACTAACCATAAGTAAACTGGAGGTTGGGCTAAATCTCTGGCAAAATTGAGATGATTATTTGTAGGTCTTTGAGTCTCAAATGAGTCAGTCACATTCCCTCAGACATTCCTTCTTCATGTTTAAGTAAAAACATGAAGAAAGACCTAGTAAGAAATATTAACTTGTTTTTTATTAACTTTCCAAGACAAAAACAATACAATAGTTTTGAAACACTGTACATTTTAACATGTGTCAATACTGAAATAACTACTACGATTAACGTGGGGGCATAAAAGAATCTTCTTAGTCACTCTAAGCCAATAAGAATCACTTCATAGGGGAAGCCGGGGTATTGTCAAGGGCGGGGGGGAAAAAAAGGACACATATGTAATACCCTTTGTAATGCTTTAAGCAATAAAAAAAAAATAATCACTTCATTTTTTCCCCCCTCAAAAGTTAGTAATAAAAATTCCAGGATGCTGGTCAGATTCCAGTGGTATTAAAATACAAATTAAAAGGGAATTGTTAGTTGCTATACTTCACTCCAAAATGTAACATTTGTAAGAGCATAATTAATTTTTTTAATAAATGGGAGAGTGATTGCACTTCCCCACCACATTTAAAATAGAATCCTTTTTTTTTTCAATATCAGTCACACTTTATTAATATTTTCTTGGAACATGGTGGACCCTTTCATTCTATGATTCCAGGCTTTTATTTATTTCTAGAAAAAAACTATTTTATTTAATTATAAAATAAAAACTTTTTGAATAGTTCACAACACTGCATTGAAAACTACTCAATGAAATACTATGCAGACATTCTAACTGGTAGTTGCAAAGAATACATCATTACTAGTATGTGGGAAAAATAATGTGACACAGACTACTACATGTCTGCCAATATCCAATTTCCCCTTCTTCCTTTAATAAGAACCCCAAACTTTAGGTGGATACAGGGGTCTCCTATTAATGATTACACTTTCCAATCACTCTAGGCATAGTTCTGGCCAATGGAATTTGAGTGGGAGTAATCCGTATAGCTTTCAGATTGTGCTTTCAAGGAAGGGAATGTATTCCCTTTTCCCCTGGCTAAGGTGCAGATGTGATGGTGGTACCTGGAGGAGCTATCTTAGACTAGAGAGGAAAGCTGTGGGTTACAGTTGGCAGAGCAACAAGATAGAAGGAAACTCAGCCCCTGACCAACTCATGGATTTCATGGGAAAGAGCTATTGTAACAGCTGAGAACCAGAGAGAAAATGCAATTCTATAACAGCAATCGCTTATAAGTAAAAGGATTCAAACAAAGTTGGCTCTACAATAGCATTACACTTATATTGAAAGCTCAAAATACTATAAATAGGAAATGCATTTACCAGTAACATCTGTACAGTTGTCATCTGAATCCGACTCCCCAGGATCAAACACTTGGATCCCCTGCGCTTGTAGCCTCTGAAGTTTGCTCTCCAACTCTCGCTTGGCTCTCAGTAAGTCCTGAATTTCATTTTCTTTGGTCTCCCTAAAAATCTTTGAAAGAATTTAAATTTTGAAATTTTTTCTATAATAAAAATCCTTGTGTCTTCAACTTTTAAGGACAAAGCTTTCACTCATTTGGTCCTTGATCTCTTCTTTTGTAGGATAAATAATCTGAGTACCTCCATCTCACTGTTTTGTAACTGGAATCCACTGGAATTCCAGCAAGATGCACATCTGTGGTGTGGGGCTGTCTTGTGCTCTGCCTAATATTTAGCAAATCTGTCCCCCCACTTCCACTAAATGCTAATAATAGTAATACCCTCCCAGCCCATGGGGCATGGCTCAGTGGTTGAGCATCAGCCTATGAAGCAGGAGGTCACTGTTCCATTCCCGGTCAGGGCACATGCTGGGGTTGTGGGCTTGATCCTTAGTGGGGGGCATGCAAGAGGCAGCCGATCAATTATTCTCTCATAGTTGATCTTTCTATCTATCTCTTCCTCTCCCTTCCTCTCTAAAATCAATAAAAATATATTTAAAAAAGATGCCCTCCCATACAAAACATCCTCAAACATTTCCAAATGCCTTCCCCAATAGAGAAACACTCCATTTTTTCAAAATCTTATTAAAATGTTCACTTTTATACCTTTTCTTTGAAACTATCTCAAGTTTATCAGAAAATGGCAAAAGTGTTCTACTCTAGTTCTTCTAACTTTCATGACTCCTACATCACTTATATTACGTATTCATTGCAGCATTATATGAACTTTGAAAATATGTAGTTTTTACTCCACTTCACTTTGAGGATAAAAATGGAAAAAATACCTTGAATTGCCTTTTAACTTTATCTCTGTCATGTTCAAATGTAGCTGCCCTTTCCATTGCTTGGTATTTGGCTTCTAAAGCACTCTCCTTTTCCCGAAGTATCTTCTGATAAGTTTTTTGAAGTGCCTGGAATAATTTATCTTGTTATTTCTAAAAAAAATAGTATTCGTCCCAAATTTTACATTATCTTACATACATATTACATATCTTAGAATTTTAACTACTTACTTACTAATTTTACCAGTTATCAAGACCTGCATATTATCATTTTATTCAAACACATAATAAAACAATGCAAACATGCTTGAACTATAGTAAATGAAGACACTTCAACATTACACTTTCAATGGAAAATATTTTTTCTTTACTGTACCAGCTCTTAATCCTACACCTCAGTTTCCTGATCTTTAAGAGAACATAAAGTATAATTTCTAAGCTTAACTTGCAAGATATTCTGTAATTCTAAGAGACCACGTGCTCATTGGCTCCATGTCTTACTCATCTTATTATCTGCAGACCTCCTTCACTTAATGTCTGACTGAATGCATTAAATAAATACAGAAAAATATTTTTAATGCCTACACATGTGAGAAAGGAGTCAAAAGGATTACATAAGGAATCAGGACTGGTAACAGGAGGAAGCTGAGACTGTGGCATTTGTCCACCCCTTACTACACTCTACCCTGGTTGGTCCAGACTTCTTTTCTCCCTCCATCTCACAGTCATTCCCAATGTGCAGTGCCTATTGGATAGTAGCTTGGACCCATGGAATCAGATACCTGAAATGCATACATCCATTTTATATATGCAAGTATTAAGAATGCCAATTAGGAAAACTGATAAGACAACAGATAGACTGCTGATAAATGTCTTCCCATAAAAGGGTGCTCATTATATGACAGCGAATGTGGGGTGGGTGGCTTAACTAGCATGAGGAAGAATGCTTCTTCCTTTTAGAAAACTCAGTCTGAGGTATTTGTTCAATTGCCAGCATGATGCACCCAGAAACACTTGTGCTGTCTAGAAGTCTCTTCCATAGTAAAGAAAGAGTAAACAAACCACAACTCTCAAAGGGGCCCTAAACCAATGGCACAAAGTCTCACAACTCTGTTCACAGAAAAGTAATCTTTTGCTTTATATAGATTTTTAATAAGTTAACTAGATCTTCTACAGAATGGCCAGGCCATTCTTTTTTTTTTTTTTTAGTAAATTAAATGGATTAAGGCAGTGGTTCAGGCCCAGAAATCAGGATTTTAAAAAGATTCCCAGGTGATTCTAATGTTCAGCCAAGGTTGAGAACCACTGGATTAAGGGAATTTGACTACACCCCAACCACAGCAGTTAAGATGATGAAAATCAGGGGCTTCCAGAAAATTCACTCCAGGGTCATTAAAACCCAAGAGCAATGGAACTTCACCAAGAAACTGAGACATAACACCCCACCGTGGAGGTAGGTAAAATTCTAGGGGGGATGGGGAGTTAAAAACTCCTGGGAAAGTTTTGACGAGTTGCTCCAACAGATGTCATATAAGTCTTGTGTGTGTGTGTGTGTGTGTGTGTGTGTGTGTATGTGTGCCCCGTGTGAACCTACTTCCCTAGAGCCCCATGGAGCCTGGCATTTGACACTTTCGGGCTAACGGCCTCAAGGCTACTGAATGAATGAACTAGAAATAGAAAAGGGGTGGCATTAGTTCAGGAATCAGTTTAGACAGCAAGAGAATATGTCCCTTCAAATTAAAATGCACAGGAGTTTCTGCTCAACTTTCAAAACTAGCTGGTTTGGAGAGGAGACAGGATGGGCAAGGATCGAGGTCAGGCGTCCAGAGTCCAGCCTGGCAGTGTCTCCGGGCGGCCTGCCGGCCATGGCAAGGCCGCCCGGGCCTCACTTTGCCGGGTGTCTGGCCGGCCTCGTTGGGGCCCAGGCCCGGCGTTACCTGCAGC